TCACAATCAGATGTGGCCCGCCGGCTCCTCCAGCTATTTTCCGTGTCCCGTCAGACGTTTGACTTTGCCACTGACGGAGATCATCAAAGTGGAAACTTGCTCCCGGGAGTGGGAGGGATGATCCGGGGCATGATATCATGCTTGCGGCTTTCAGCAAACCCACAAGCCCCAATCGACGATGTCGACTGAAAGCGCTCTGTACAAGGAGATTCTGGTCGCTAGAACGGGAATGCTCGTTTCGTCCCCCATCAAGCCACCTATATTGTCTCTCTTGCTTCCGGATCTGAGTTGATAGTCACGCAAATCCGGAACACACCGGGTTCTACAGCATTCAATCGACGTGGACTTCTTCCCGAAGAGCTCCTCGAAACCTTACGGATTATCCTTTTGCCGGCTAGAGAAAGGTGAGCTTCCCAGGGACTTGCACTTTCGGAAAGTCCCTGCCTGAGTCCAGCGGTGCATCTTTCTTCTTGCCGGATTTGCCCGGAGACCATGACATTGCTCCCCAGAACTTGAGGGTTGTCAGAGTGTCGGTCTTGGATCCCTGTGAGGAGCCGTCCTCAGGCTTCCAAAAATCCTCCGGCTGGCAGGGTTTGAGCCGAGAGACTTAATCATGTACGTGGATTATTCGGAGTGTAGTTCAAGTCGCGGAATCCATAAGGACAACTGTTCGAGGTCGACGCGCGCTCCATTTGAACCTGACCAGCTCAGAGCGTCTGCCGTTCGTCGAGCACGATGTTGGGCGCGGGTCGCGACGTGTTCGCGATGGTCCCGCGAGAAATCATCTGATGTAAGCGACATCGACCACCACAAGGGCACAGCGATCATCTGCTGATGGTTTTTTTGTCTCCATAATATTTTTCCTTTGCCCGCAGCTCACACACCGACTGGTTGTCGGAGCATCGTCTGTAGCAGACGACAAGTTGTTCGAATCCTTCGGGCCAGAGCCGAATGGTAAGCTGATGATGTATTGAGCGATGGGAAACCGCTGCGGCCACCTGTGAGTATCCTGGATTCTTGAAGAGTGTCGTAAATGATTTTCTTACCAACTCGCAAAATCTACCCAGGGTAAATAAATGGAGAGGAGAGCTACAATGGTACTCCCTTGCTCCTCTTCAATTCATAGAATCATTGATAATAATTAATCGAACGTTATCCGGTGTTTTGCGGCGAACCTCTTCCGCCGCTCAGGGGAAGGGGTCAGAGCTATGGAAAAGAAATTAGTCGGAGTTCAGGGAGGATTGAATAAGGTCGGTCGTGGGCGGTCTTCTCCAGCCTCACCAGTTGAGTCTTCGAGAGAGATTTCGAAGGGGCTCTTTCAATATGCTCTTTTATTCGGCGAATCTAATGTCTCCAGCTGGATTTATTTATGGAGATCCTGTGCGGCTTGAGATTCCGGTGGGATGTGACATATATGGTGTCGAAGTCGCTATCAAGTTCTTGCGGGAAATTCGGGTGATCTCCGAGGTTCGGTGACCCATCGTTCGAAATCCACCGTGTCACAGAGCCGGTGGGCAGCGACGGAGACGGCGCCAGCGATCGCCCGCTCCTGCCCTGGCAGCAACGCGTGTACCTCTTCTGTGGCCGCGAGGAGAACAGGCTCACCAATCAAGCTAGATGATTGCCTTGGGAGAACGGATTCGCAACCGGACCCATGAATGTCTAAATGTGGAATGAAATGAGAAACATGTGCTTGAACTTTTCCCCTTTCCCCGGGACAGCGCTCCAGGACGAGGTTGAAGGCTTTCTGACAAAAGTTTTTTTCTTACAGGTAAAAATGCAGAATGCTCCTTTCTGCGACCGGCAGGTCGATATGGACTTCCTGCGCCGTTCGCCGGCAGAGCATCTCCGCCGGCGACTCGGTCCTCTGCGCTCCGAACCGAATTTTTACAAATTGGGCCTAGCCGATCAACCTGATTTCCTGAGGGAGAAAAGCGAAAATATCTTGGAATGCTCGGATCGTAAAGCCTCGGCGGACTGGCAGCGTCTCAAAGACTTGTTGGTCGCTCATCGCAAAGGGGTGCCTGAATCGACGATATTGGACTTGATTCGGACCTTCCAAACACTGTGTCAAGAAGCCCTGGGAGACGTCCAAGAGGGCCTCTGTCATGCAGCAGCTCTCAAGTTGCTTTCCATATTCGTTGATCACGCGGGTGGCTATCTTCGGGATCAAGATGTCGTGAAAGTGAGATGTTGTGTGGCCCCGATTCCGAAGGATGTACTCACCAAAATCATGGAGCACGTATCGATCCTTGAAGATTTCTGCGGGGAGTATTTGAGCACCGCCGTGAACGAAATCGCAGAAAACTCGAACGATAGCAATGCTTTCTTGAAGGAAACAGCTGAGGTCAAACTACCGATTGTCAGAGACCCGGAATGGCTGGAACGAGAGTTCCTCCTCATAGCCAAGACGCCGATGGAGAGTTCGAAGAGTCGGCTGGGTTTCGATGAGATCGTCAAGCAAACCAACATTCAATCGGGGAAGGACGAAACTCCGACAGAGACCTACAACGAAGCGTGGCTGCAACGGAAAGTCAGAGACATCACTCGGGACCTCACACCTTCTGTGCCTCCGGAGGAAATCGTCAAAATAATCGTGAATCGCCTCGAATCCGCAAGCAGTGACGACGTGGTTTCTTCGGAGCTCTTCGAGGCTCTCGGAATGGATTTCCTCGAGCTGATCAGTGAAGTCATGAAACGGCGCAAGGACATAATGAAAGCTGTTGCTCGACAAGCTCATATAGACTCGATCGGGGCTTCAGGCGCCCGTCAGAAACAGATGCCGTCGTCGCAGTCAAGTAATCCGCTCGGACAAACTGTCAGCGTTAATTTGGAGAGCGAGATTCTCCTGCAGAAGAAATTATCCAAAGAGGAGAAAAAACTACACAAACTCAAATCGAACGCAATCGATGATTTGACGATCGACGAGCTCCGACAGATTCGCCAACAAGAACTCACCGAGCGCTACCGGAGCCCGACAGGAGTTTATGTTTCGTCGTCGAGCAAGGTTGACAACTCGTCAATGCCGCACGTATATGACAGTCTCTCGCAGCTCCGGACCTCGAAAACGTTCGTGGGCGGCTTGAACCTCATGCTACCTGAGTCCGCGAAACAAATCACCACGGGCACCTACGATGAAATTCGAATTCCAGTTTCGGACTCCACGATTCCCAGAGTCTGTACCCTGATCAGTATTATGGATCTCGAAGAGCCACTCCAAGCGGCCTTCCCAAAAACGGAACGTTTGAATCTTATTCAGAGCGCCGTCTACCCTGTTGCCTATCAATCAAATGAGAACATGCTCATTTGCGCTCCGACAGGAGCCGGAAAGACGAACGTCGCGATGCTGACCATCATGAGAGAAGTCATGAAACGGCTCGATCCGGTTACGGGTCGCGCGAGCAACGATTTTAAAATCGTCTACGTCGCTCCGATGAAGGCACTCGCGTCAGAAATGGTGTCGAACTTCGGGAGTCGGCTCTCGGTATTCGGAATGTCGGTCAGAGAGCTCACCGGAGACATGCAGCTGACGAAAACGGAGATGATGAAAACTCATATGCTCGTCACAACCCCCGAGAAATGGGACGTTGTCACTCGCAAAGGTAGCGGCGACGTCCAGATGGTGAAAATGGTGACTCTACTCATTCTCGACGAAGTCCATTTGTTGCACGGGGATCGTGGCCCGGTGCTCGAGGCCCTCGTGGCCCGGACAATCCGTCAGGTAGAGAGCACCCAATCCATGATCCGGATCATAGGGCTGTCGGCCACCCTTCCGAACTACACAGACGTGGCGAATTTTCTCGGAGTGAACCTAGCCAGCGGACTGTTTTACTTCGATCATCGTTTCCGTCCGGTCCCTCTGGCGCAGACATTCGTCGGCTACAAAGGGAGGTCTCGTCTCGAACAGAATCAACAGATGAACGACATAACCTATGAGAAAGCGCTGGAAATCGTTAAAGCCGGGAACCAGGTGATGGTATTCGTTCATTCCCGGAACAATACCATACGGTCGGCGGGGGCGATGCGCGACATCGCCAGCGAGCATGGGAAACTCGAATTCTTCCTCCAAAACAACCATCCCCAGTACTCGTTGCTCGAGAAGAATCTGGCCAGTTCTCGAAACAAGAAACTGCAGGAGCTATTCCGTGTCGGTTTCGGATTCCATCACGCGGGTATGCTGCGTCAGGACAGGAATTTCGTCGAGAAAGCGTTTTCGAAAGGCGCGATCAGCGTCCTGTTCTGCACGTCGACTCTTGCTTGGGGTGTGAATCTCCCCGCTAACTGCGTCATCATCAAGGGGACCGATGTCTACGACTCGACTCACGGTGCCTTCGTCGATCTGGGCATACTCGACGTGCTCCAGATTTTCGGTAGAGCGGGTCGACCGCAATTTCAGCAGACGGGAGAGGCGATGATAATCACGCACCATTCGAAGATGAGTAATTACGTGTCTCTGATGACGAACCAATGGCCGATCGAGAGCAAGTTCCACCAGAACCTTGCGGACAACCTCATCGCAGAAATCGTTCTCGGCACCGTCACCAACATCGACGAGGCCGTCGAATGGTTGAGCTACACGTATCTTTTTGTTCGTATGAAGAAAAATCCGCTCGTCTACGGACTGACTCCGAAATCGTTGAGAGAAGATCCCGAACTATTCAACCATCGGCGCGGGCTGATCGAGGAGGCGGCCCGAAAACTCGACTCCGCCAAGATGATCCGCTATCATGAAGCGACGGGTTCGCTAGACGCAACCGACTTGGGTCGAACCGCCTCACATTTCTACATAAAATACGAGACTGTCGAACGCATAAACGAGTGGTTCTTGAGGAAAGTGTCCACTTTGCAGGACGCTGACGTCATCGCCATGATAAGTCAGGCGCAGGAGTTCGATCAGCTGCAAATGCGTGAAGACGAGTCCGAGGAACTCATTAAGATGGAGCGGAGATGCGAGTTGGTGGTGAAGCAGGGCGTTCAAGGAGGGAAAATCAATACGCTCATACAGAACTACATCTCACGCGGAGACGTCGAAACGTTTTCCCTCGTTTCCGATTCGAACTACATTGTACAGAACGCTACTAGGATCGGCAGAGCCCTTTTCGAGATGGCTCTGCGCAAAGGGAACGCTTTGGCGGCCGGTCGGCTGCTCCTGAATTCGAAAATGTTGGAAAGGCAGTCGTGGTACTTCAACAGCCCCTTGAGACAATTCCCTGGAGTTTCGTACAAGACGATTGAATTCCTTGAAAGAAAGGACTGCACACTCGACGCCCTCCGGGGCATGGACCCCAAAGAAGTCGGACAACTCGTTCAGAACCAGGGCCAGGGCGCCCTCGTTCATCAATATGCTCATAATGTGCCTTATATTGAGATTGATTGCACGGTCCATCCCATTACGAGAACCGTTTTCAAGGTCACTCTCGACATCGAACCCGCGTTTACGTGGGACGACAACTTCCATCATAATTCAGAGGCGTTCTGGATTTGGATCGAAGATCCGGAATCCGATCACATCACTCATTCAGAATACTTCATTCTCACGAAGAAACAAGTCATGCTGAAAGAGAGGCAAAACCTCGTGTTCACCATACCGGTCACCGATCCTCCGCCTGGACAGTATTTGATACACGTGGACTCAGACCGCTGGATCGGTTCTGAGGATGAGATCCCCATGAGCTTCAAGCATCTCATTCTCCCGACGAGGCATCTGCCCCACACCGAACTGTTGGATTTGCAACCACTGCCGAAAACGGCACTGAAAAACGAACTCTTCGAGTCGCTCTACCCCTTCACGCATTTCAATCCGATCCAAACCCAGCTGTTCCATACCCTGTACCATACGGATCACAACGTGTTACTCGGCGCACCCACCGGCTCCGGAAAAACCATTGTCGCGGAGATCGCGATGTTCCGAGTATTCCAAATGCAACAAAAGCGACGGAAAGTCGTTTATATCGCACCTCTGAAGAGTTTGGTGAAGGAACGAGTGAAAGACTGGAACGACCGACTCGTCCAGAGACTCGGTTTCAAAATGGCCGAATTGACCGGTGATGTCACCCCCGATTTCCGGACGATAGCCGAAGCCGACATCATCGTCACAACTCCGGAAAAATGGGACGGCGTTTCCCGATCCTGGCAGACGCGATGCTACGTTCAGGATGTGGCTCTGATCGTTATCGACGAAATTCACCTGTTGGGAGAAGACCGAGGCCCTGTCCTCGAGGTCATTGTGTCGCGAGCTAATTTCATAGGGAATTTCAACGAGACCAAGATTCGGATCATCGGTCTCTCCACCGCTCTTGCGAACGCTCGCGATCTCGCGGATTGGCTCCAGATTGGAGAAGTGGGCCTATTCAATTTCAAACCCTCCGTGCGACCGGTCCAGCTGGAAGTTCACGTTTCGGGCCACCCGGGGAAACATTACTGCCCCAGGATGGCCCTGATGAACAAGCCCACGTTCAGAGCGATCCAACAGCACTCCCCATCGAAGCCGGTTCTCATTTTCGTATCGTCGAGACGTCAAACTCGACTGACCGCCAATGACCTGATAGCCTTCTTGGGTGGTACGCCCGACTCGAAAGTGTGGCTGAACATGGACGAAGCCTCCATGGAGCAGGTCTTGCAGCAGGTCAACGACCAGTATCTGAGGCATTCCCTCAACTTTGGCGTCGGAATGCACCACGCGGGATTGCAGGAGAAAGATCGACAGATCGTCGAAGAACTCTTCCTGAACTGTAAAATCCAGGTTCTCATTGCGACTTCCACGCTGGCTTGGGGTGTGAATCTCCCCGCACATCTGGTCGTCGTCAAAGGAACCGAATACTTCGACGCCAAAGTCAATCGCTACTCCGATTATCCGATCACCGACGTCCTCCAAATGATCGGGAGAGCCGGTCGACCTCAGTTCGACACCCACGGTGTCGCCGTGGTCATGGTTCACGATCAGAAGAAAAAGTTCTACCAAAAGTTCTTGTACGAGCCGTTCCCCGTCGAGAGCTCTCTGCTGAAAGTGCTGCCCGATCACATCAATGCGGAAATTGTGGCGGGAACGCTGACGACCACCCAGGACTGCATGGAGTACATGACGTGGACCTATTTCTTCAGACGTCTGCTGCAGAACCCCAGCTACTACGATCTCGAAGACGTCGCGTCTGCTGAGGTCAATAAGTACTTATCGGATCTGATTGCTCGGACAATCGACACTCTCATACGCTCGTACTGTGTCGAGCTCGACGAAGACGATCGAACATTGATTCCTACCCCTCTTGCGAAGATCATTTCGTTTTATTACTTGTATCACGAAACAGCGAAATTCTTCCACGAGTCCCTCAATAAGGACTGCAATTACCTCAGACTTATGGAACTCACTTGCGAATGCAAAGAATTCGCTGAATTGCCCGTCCGTCACAACGAAGATCTCGAGAACGCCGAATTGGCCGAGAACCTCAGATGGGGAAGACATCGGAGAAACTACGATAGTCCACACACGAAAGCTTTCCTCTTACTGCAAGCCCATATGGAGCGCTGCCCCATGCCGAGCTCCGATTATCTGCTGGACCTGAAGTCAATGCTCGATCAAGTGCCCAGAGTCATTCAAGCTGAGATCGATATTCTGAGCGCCAAGGGCCTGCTTTCGCCGGTGCTCTCCTGCATTTTACTTCTACAAACTCTGAACCAAGCCCGGTACCATGACATCGACGACCCGCTGACCTGTCTCCCCGAGGTCGAGGACAGCCACCTCTACATGTTCCGCAAAGCTGGATTCGACTCTCTGGCAGAAGCTGTGACGAAAATAAGAGATAGGGAAATGTTCAGCAAGTTACAGCAATCGCTGCGACTGGAGTTTTCCGCTGAGATAACGAAGAAGATTCTTTTTGCCATCAAAGATCTCCCTCTGATCAAGACCCGCCTCTTCATTGATGGGCCTGATTGTCAGGGAGTTCAAATCCCGGTTGAGCGTTTCCAGGGTGCCGTGCCGGACCGAGCATGGATTCGAGTCAAAAGCCAGACGGAGTATACGATCAGTTTTGAGACTACTCGGCAGAACTCGATGCCTAGCCAGAGAGGCGTTCCGAAAGCCGCTATACAATCGAGGAAAGTGAAAGCGAAGGATGAAGGATGGTTTTTCGTGATCGGCAGCAAGGAATCGGGGACTCTGACAATGCTCAAACGCTGCTCAGGATTCTACCAGACAATGACTTATCAATCGACTTTCATGACACCCGAAACTCCAACACGAATGATCCTCACAGTGTTTCTGTTATCCGACGTGTATTTAGGTCTGGATCAAGAGTATAACGTTTACTTGGATGTGAGCAATTGAGAGTGATATGTTGAAGCGGATACTATTTTTGATGAGTATTTGTTGATGTAATAAATATCTATTTATCTTATTTATTCAGGAAGAATGCTTGTTAGTTTTCCTCAATACTCGAGTTCAGGTCGTCCCCATGGAGGAGGTAGGTAGGAAGATTACCGGCCCTCATAGGGGCATGACTGGGCTTCGGATGGGTCTGCAGATCGATCTGATGAGGGGTTCGGAATTCGCTGCACGAGTCTTCAACGAAACATGGTCCTGCAGGATTCATATCTGGTGATTAGGGGACGGAGGCGAACGCGATCTCCGGGAATGTTCCGGAGCGTCTCCTTGCCACTCCCGCCCCCCTCCCCCTCCATGATGAGCGATCTCCAGCCCGATTGAGGATTGGCGGAGGATTTTGACCCGACGATTGAGCGATTCGGCAGCAGCGGAGCTCTTACTTACCTCACTTGAATAATTCGAAAACATTCTCTTGACCGAGGAGAGAACTGAAGAGCCGTGAACCCCTTCTCCCCAAGAACTGAAAAAAAAGCCTATGAGCAGCCCGAACTTTCCGGGAAACTCGGTACGATTCGGAATAGATCGCCCGGTCTATCTCCGAGCCGAGTCAGAAGGATTTGCATGCGGGAAGTTTCCATCCGCAATACTCCTCGTCTTAGGAGTCGACCGGAGAAAATCTCGTGCGAAGTTATGACCTTCGAGCTCCATGCATGAAGTGCCCGACACAGTGCAGTTGAACGGGATGGAGGAAAAAGCTCCTCCGCATCCTCATATCCCTTCAGTGTCGAAATTGCCACCCGAAGTTTTTAGTGAGATTGTCGCCGACAGCCTAATTCGGCTCTAGAAAATTCCAGCAAGCGAGCGTGGACGCCTGGTCAGAACCGAATCGTTTTACCGGTTCCCATAATCGATGTACGACTCCGCTCACTAATCACTTTAATCCTTGACGAACAGGCCGCAGCAATGGAGCTTCAACCGCCAAGAGGGTGACCATTGATCTCCAAGATATCTGGTTTCGGCCGATAAACCTCCTCTCTGGAACCCTTCCCCGTTGGACTGTCAATACAGTAACGCCAAGAATCTCGAACGCAGCGTCAGTCGCAAGATGATTCGGGAAGTGCTGATCGGCTGTTTCTTGGCTGGGGCTTCGGCCTCCATGCTGCGTGAGGTGTACAAAAATCGACCCATCCAGTCAGGTCCGCAGCAGACTAAGAAAGGTCCTGGGGAAGCCTTGTTCCTAACCCCCTTCATCGAAGATCATCAATACGATCTCGCGAAAGAGCTCAGCAAAGTCGGACCTATCAATGGCGTCAACATTCCGAGTTACGCCGGCTATTTCACAGTCAATAAGACCACGGAATCGAATATGTTCTTCTGGTTCTTCCCAGCGTTGGTGAGAACGGATTAGTTTATTGAATTCGTTAAGATCGATTTGTGTGCTCTCGACTCACTCGCTCACAGTCGTTGTCCACGAGACTTGATCGAGTTCAATGATTCCGACAAACGAGATATTGTGCTTTGAGGTTTTCCTCACACGAATCTTCGGCCGAGCCATGGCGAGCTAAACATACCTAGATGCAGAGAGATACCGAGAGCGATGAGACATTCCGGGAGTTTATCTCCATTTTTCGTGGGCTCGACCCGTACGCGGAACAGCATGAGCACTCCAACCGGTATCTCAATCGTTTTAGCGAATCGAACTCTATCACTCAGTGAACGGGATAGCCGAGCAATGAATTAAAATGGCTACGCTGGAAGGTTGGTATTTGCAGAACGAAGATGCTAATGCCCCGACCCTGCTATGGCTACAAGGTGGACCCGGGGGTTCGTCTCTTTTCGGATTGTTCGTTGAGCACGGTCCCCTCGAGATCACAGCCGACCAATTTGCGAAGCTCCGGAAAACCACCTGGGCCGCCAAGTTCAACCTGTTGTATATCGACAACCCCGTCGGAACCGGTTTCTCGTTCACGAAGCACGACGAAGGCTATGTTACGAACCAGAGCGAGGTGGGGAGGGATCTATTCGAAGCTCTGAATCAGTTCTTCACTGTCTTCAGCGAGTACGCCAACAACGATTTCTACGTCACGGGGGAGTCCTACGCCGGTGAGTTCCAGCTCCCTACCGGAGAGGTGTCATCTACGATCATCCGGTCCGATGGTTTCTCAGTCACTATCAACTCTGATCTTTGTTGAATTAATGGATTCTGGGAATGAATATCAAATTCACTCAGTCCCTTGACTGAATATTCATCATCATCACAAACCTGAATGAAGTCTCGAAATCATGCCGGTCAGGAAAGTACGTGCCCGCCGTCGCCTACACCATCCACAAAAACCAGGACAAGGCCAAGATGAAGCTCAAAGGCATCGCCATCGGCGACGGTCTCTGCGATCCGGTCACGATGCTTGACTACGGCGACTTCCTGCAGAGCATCGGTCTCCTCGATGACGCTCAGGCTGATCATTTCCGGAGCGAACAGGCCAGAGCCAAGGCCTTCATCGAAAAGGAAGATTGGCGTAACGCCTTCCTCATCTTCGATCAGCTTCTAAACGGCGACAAATTACCGAACGGAACTCTGCCCTATTTCCGACAAATCACTGGCCTAAACTTCTATTACAACTACTTGCTGACTAAGGTAAGGGGAAAGAGAATATTCCCGGCTTATCGATAAGGCCCCGAAGAACGACGCTAGGGTTTTCTGTCAGACGCAGTTCTGAGGTCATTTTTGAAGCTCCTCAGGCTCATAATGAAATCTGCGACTCTTCCTCAGGAACCTGCCTCTTTCGGCTACTACAACGCTTTCGTTCAGAGCGAGAAAACTCGAGCCGCCATCCACGTTGGGAACCTGACGTATAACGATGGTTCAGTGGTGGAAACGAAGCTCGAGAACGACGTGATGAAATCAGTCAAACCCTGGATCGCCGAGCTCATGGAGCACTACAAAGTCATGATCTACAACGGTCAGTTGGACATCATCATCGCTTACCCCTTGACAGCTTCGTTCGTGAAATCCATTGAATGGAGCGGAGCTAACGATCTGTCCGGAGCCGAGCGTATCGTCTGGAAGAGCCTCAAGACGGGTGAGCCCGCAGGATACGTCAGGAAGGTCAGGAATTTCACCGAGGTCATGGTCCGGAACGCCGGGCACATTCTCCCCTACGATCAGCCGGACAACGCTCTCGACATGATCGATCGATTCGTCAACGACAAACCCTTCAACTGAGCTCCGGGGAGAACACTCAGAACTGGAAGAACCCTCGAAAGACATTAATGAGATAATAAAAAAATTGTGCAAATCTAGAATCCGACCACTCCTCTACATCGAAATATATGTTCGCCACATGAGTTCGTATGAGCGATAAGAATCTTCTCGTTCGGGGATTAGCCATGGGTCGAGGAACCAGATAATCAGGAGCTGACTCCGATGGACGACTTACGGTGAACCCAACCCTTCCGGACAAAATTCAGGCTCCACCATCAAGGAGACAATCAGTCGGAAGGACCTTTGCATGGGCAAAATATCGGTCGGATCCATCGCGGCGGACGAACAGCGGAGGAACTCCTGCCGAAGTTGAGATGTGCCGAGAGGAGCTCTCATTCCGGAGATCTGAATTTGGAAGCTGATTGCTCACGTGGAGTCACACGTAAATCCATCAGATGCTATGAAGAAAAATCAACCGAGAGAAATTTGCATTCCGGGGAGACGCACACGCCGGAAACGAATTATCTCCCAAGTCCGAAATGCCTGATATATCAATTTCAAAAACTAGCATAAATAGCTTAAGAAAGACTCGCCAGCGTCGGATGTGAGTGGGAGAGTTGCGAGAATATTATTCATCCCAGCGTTGATGATGGCACTCTCGTCATCTCGTCTCACGATCCATCTCGCTTTCCGCCCGCATCAATCATAGCAAGGTTGATGTAATATAGAAGAGATATGCAGGCTTCCAAGAGGGTCAAAGCTCGGGAACTATGTACATCGAATCCGAAAAAACATCGAGGCTGCCTGTGGTCTTCGGAATCATCAGTTTCACATCAGGCGATTCAATCGATGTCCAGGGCTCCATGGAAGCGAATCTTCGGAAGAAACTGATTCTCCGCGGCTTGAGTCGAAGAGTAAATAGAAGGTTCCTCGTCCTCTGCAGTCCCCGCAGAAGAGGAATCCTTCGATCGACGAAGCTTTTCACGGTCCCTCTTGCTCGTGAAAAAATAACTCGAAAACTTGTATCCACACCAGGGCAGCCCGACGACACGCAACGTTATGTTCCAGCGGCATTCATCACTCGTTCGATCCGTCACAACCACACGCAAAAAAAGGAGCTCCCACAGGGAGGGACGTTTTGCAACGCTTTTCGGGACAGGGACCGAGGAACCGAACATGGGCGATGACCGACTGCAGGAGGTTCGTCCGAGCTCCCGTTGTTCAGGCCCGAATCCTGGGAACCAGATAGCAAATAGCATTTCCTCAGCGTATCGAATGTACCGGGCTTATAACTCAAAGCCCCGAGGAATCTAATTCGAGGAATTCTCTGTCTATGCGGGTCTGGACGGAGGAAAGAAGAACGCTCGATATACAGAGGAGAAGCTCAGCTAACACAGGATGTTCGTGGGAAACAGGTGTTCTCGCCATGTACTTCCGAGTGATCAGCGATGTCATGTCTTTCCGCTAGGGCTTCCCTAATCTATTCCGAGCCGGAGTTCTTCAATTCAGCAATAATTGAGCGCAGGTCGGATGGAGCCGCAGATGAATGGCTGTAGTGATCAATGTGTCTTCTGTCACTCGTTCACGCGTCAGCTCGAGCTGCCTCGCTGCTTGCCTCCCTTTCTGTTCCCGAACAACGGGTCGCTTCGATTCCTGGACGAAATTTTCGCTTCGATCAAAAACAACTGGTCTCGCTCCACGCAGCGATGCTCTTTGGGGGCACGACTTCGGTTTCTTCTGACTTCCGCAAGCGTGAGAACTTTTGGCCCTTCCCTGAAGCTACCGGAGCTCCGGCGCCACTAGGTTCGCTCAAACGAGCCAAGTTAAGTAACGGATCGCCATCATGTGGCTCGCTCGGCGGTGATTTTCCAACATGAAAACGTGGAACTGCGTTGTACTGTTTGTGATTTGTGTGCAAATACTTGCAGTTGTCGAGGCACAGCTGCTCTCGCGTTTACTGAATCGTCTGCTGTTTTCGAAACGGAATTCCGAAGAAGATGACTATCCCCCATATCCGAGAAGGTGAGTACGGACGCAGTAAAAACCCCGATAGGACTCTGACGAGGATTCGCGGCCTGGAAGACTGGGTTCTTCGTAATCTCATGCGGCTCAAGAGAAGGCGGACACAACTCCTCCAGATGTGCAGGACCGGAGGCTTCTGCTGGACGTCGTATCAATGGCGCGATGACTTTCATCGAGCCTCCTCTGCTGTGAAATAGCGGAGACTGCGATGACATTCATCGAGCCTCCTGTTCTGTGAAATAGCGGAGACTGTGGAATGCAAGCATTGTCGCTAAGTTCAATCAGAGATGAGCTCGCGGAACTCCTGAAAAAATTATTCACCGATCCCGAAGTTACGTCGGGAAGTGCCAGACGCTTTATCGTAGAACTAGAGCCAAGAGACATCGTCAGCGAGGAATCAGAAAATTTTCGGTCGATGGCCGGATACCGGCGCTGAAATGGTCCAATGGAACCTTGTCGTGCCGAACACCGTCATAACGAAAGTTTATTATCACAAACGAAAAATGAGGCTTGATAATTTGACTGGAGAGCCGTGGAGTACACGCTTCGAAATTTTCCCTGTGACAAACATTCGTTACAAGGTAGGAAATCCGCCGGTCCCGCGAGTCTCGTGTGTTACGAACTCCCACCGTGATGGAATACATTCGCAATGAATGCTCCTAGTTTAGAGCTCGCGGAACTTGTCGTGTGACAGAAAAAAATTATTCCACAATAATTTTAAATATGTATGTAGAGTACATTCGACACGTTCGCCCAACTCCGGGCAACCCGTTACCCGAAGGCATTGAGCCGTGGACTGCGGCGGCCTTTCCTCTCTGAACCTCCATAGATAATCGCTGGAGGAGGAACTCAGTGGCCTTCTATCTCCCGACTCTGCCTCGATGCGTCGTCTCAAATCTCTGAGAAATGACTCCGTGCTCTCACCGAATGCGCCAATATTGCCACCGGCTTCTTCCTCTCTGCCAGCATGTGACAGAAAGTTCTACTTTCGTTTGTCGGATTTTCTTGCTCACGTCCAGTACTGATATTATTCCAACTTCCTCCGGAATCGATCAGATCAGATGAATTCTGGCATCAAACGAGGAAGACTGCAACTTGATCCCTCTTTCCGGGCGGGGAGAGCCTCATCGCTTCTGCGTCACACGCGATGTTTCTTTTCTGATCCTTGCTCTTTTCCGACCCCTTCGTGAGGGGCCTCAGAAGGGTGCGGCGTCAAGTTCCGGTGCCACAGTGCGGCTGGCGATGGCTCCAGATACCGTCAAAGAGTTCCGAGATAATTGAAGACGACGTCGATGAGCTCCGGTCGTGAGTGAGCGGTCAGATTCGAGCCAGAGACATTTCACTCGATACGACTCGAATGCAGACACGCGAATGAGAAAAATGTGGCGCGCTAATTCCTCGCAGCGCTTGGCTATGTCGCAAGTCGCTCCGTTGAATGAGCGTATGCGGAGTGTCGACTCGAACAGCGGAAGCCTGTAATCCATGACACCAAGAGTTTTCTGTTTGGAATAAGGGATCGATCCCTTCCGCTCCACGAGGAAGCTCTTCTCGCTGTTCGTAAAAACCTCCGTAACGCTCTGCTGTCCGCCTTTCTGTTACTCTCATTAACAAGAGCATTGCGTTCGAGCTTTCCACTCCGCTTCGCTCCACGGAGGCTCAAGCGCTCGCTCATTGAATTGTTTCGTCCGGCTCGTGATTCACAAGAGTTTCCGCGCATCTTGACGCATTATGCCTTCCTGCAGCAGAAACGATACACCTGTCATCCCCAGAGCGGAATTTCCAGCAGATGCTTCTTCGTGAACGAATATATGTATTCGAATCCATCCTCCGGCGTCGAGTCCTTCATCCGACATTAAGGGAAAATTTAGCGTTCCTAGCCGAATACTCGTTGTTGAGCGAGTGTCGCTTTAAAGATTGAGCGAAAGTTCCCACTGAGGTTATTTACGACCTCTGGTCCGCAGGCTCGAGGAAGAAGTCCAAGAAACTCAGTGATTTCCCCGCTTGCATCTCCTGAAGCTCGCTACTAGGAGGGTAACGATTCTCCGGGGACAAATATTCCGCCAATATCGGGTCTTTGCATCGACTCTTCCAGCTGATCGCGGAAGCGTGAAGAGTCGTCAAGAAGCCAATTTCAAGCATTGGAACCGACGCGAAATTCACATTGCTCGTGCTTCTCATCAAATCACTGGATTAGGATGGTGTCATCATCGGAGCGTTGTTTCTGCAATTATTTACAGAAGACTCAATCCTAGAGCGCGAGAGGAACGCGCCTCGTTGACTCCAATCTTGCTTCATTATTGAAATTTTTCGCTTCGCTTGCACAAACAGCAGGTGAGCTCAAGAACTGTAACGACTTGAGCTCTCAATCAAAGGACGCTGTTTGCTCGCGGAAGTAAAGATCCCTCCGCTATTCGGCTCCTTTGAAAGGATGAGTAGAACGTGTTATCGCTGAAAGCTGCTTGAATATGACTTACAAATCGACAACTGGGCTCGAATAGCGGAACTAAGCGTGGACGACGATTGTAAGCGAGTTCTGAGCGTTGCCGGCACTAAACTTCCATAGCGTCGCATAATCCTGCGGGGGGAATCGCTGTGATAGTTCCCCCGGTCTTGCACTCCACGAAGTCTTCGAATGGATAGAGATACCACTGGTCCTCCCAAGGGAACGCCGTAGAATCCACGTATAGGTATAGGTGATACGAGATTACATAACACTGAGCTCTTTCTCGGTCTTTCTGAAGACGGCCTCCTCCATACCGACGCCGACGCCCTCCCGACCACGATCCGTACAAGTACGATCCGGACGACGACGATTACCACCGAGATCATTCTATTGCTCGGCCACCTAAACGACCTCCGCCTTCTTATCGAAAAACCAAGCCCCACAAGGAACAGGTCAGTTGCGTTATCTCTAGATAGAAGGACTCTCTCGCATTGTACGATGCTCACCCGGGGATTTCAAGTCCCCGCGGAGCTTCATTCAATCATTCGAGCAGAGAAAATTCCTATGCCTGTTTTTCAGGACTCTGAAGACACAGCTCCTCCGATGACCATATATCTACAGCCTGGAGCAAATGGAGAGCGCGGCAAGCCGAAAAGGATACGAATAGTCACCGTGAATAATTATCCGCCGTATCAAAGGGATTACGGCTACGGCCAGGGCAGCCCTTACCATAACGCGGTTTGGAACAGAGGTTTAGGTCAGCGAGATATGGTTTTCCCTCAAAATGACTATTCGGCTCCGATTGCCATGACGAGTCATCCAAACGGGCGATACAGCGAATACGCCCCTCCTGCTGGCCAAGAGCAGGTCGGGTCTACGGGACCACGATACGACTACGACTATTACAGAAGTAAACGAAAACGAAAATGAATCGCATGAATCACATAGCGCCATACATTCCGTGTCACCAATGATTCAATCTTGTACAAAGAGTCTCTGTACGAATATAACAGTGTATGCCATGACAATGCCTGCGAGAAGAAGGTCGATTTCATTAGGTACAAACAAAATATTTTATTCGAAATCGGAGATTTTCTCTTTTTTCTTTCTTTCTTCTCTCCTATGCTCATCGAATAAGTAGCCTTCGACAAAAGCCGATTGAACGGGACCCACCCCTTTCCCTTCCCCGAGGAATTTCCAAGAATTAGGCGTGCAGTTCGCAGACTCTGCAGTATTGGATTCTTTTGGTATCTCAACCGCGATGGGGATCGCAAGCGGCGCAATTTTTTTTCTCTCGAATCAGACTCATTATTCCTGGGTGACCGCATATCTTGAAACCACCCAGGGGTCATTGGAGCGCGGACCTCGGCTCGCGAGGCTCTGGAGCGCGATCTCGTCGACTTGCCGTCTTTCAGCATCGTCGGGCTTCTTCCGCGTTGATTCAACCACGTACATCTTAACAGTAGGTAATTATGAACGGCAACATTTTCCAGCGTGGAACAAGCGAGATTCTAACGTGTTCATTACGCGAGGACAGAGACTCGGATCTGAATGCATGTGTACAATTCTCTGAGAGCCTGAAGCATTGATTGTAAGATCAAGGAACACCAAAAGAACGCAAGTGAGGGACGAAAACGATAAGACACAGGAGTGAACACTCTCGCTGTTCGCATAAAAAACCGCTGATCCTATCACAGCTGGCCGACCGACGCGATCAAACAGAAGCATACCGACATCCAGAGGATTTAGAAAATTGACGGGTGAGCAAGTGAACGTTCCCGTTAGAGAATTCTGATTCACTCAAGATTGCTTTCGCTGATTCCACGATCGCCATAACCGAGCCCCTAGGAGAAATTTCGAAACAGCACGCACGGGATTAATCCTCTCTCGATCTGTCGCTACTCTGCGCCGCCGATTCCGAAGCTGGGTGAGGCTCTCGCGGACCACTCGACCCATCCGTTCTGACCGCACTGTATGACGGTTGTCCACAGCCTTGGACATCAACGGGTCCTCCTACAGCACCGCCAACCGCTCCTTCGAGTACCTCGGTCTCCGGAGGCAGATCGACCTGCCGAGAGGTGCCTGCGACGTCATCATATGACGGCGGTGGCGCTTGCACCTGGTCGATGGTCGGCATCTGCGTCGCCATCTGATAGGGCGGCGGCGGTGCAGTGTAGAAGTTGTACGGATACTTCTGCGTAGCTTCGTAATCGGGTAGCAACTGGCTAGCCTCCATGGTCGCGGGACGATGCGCCATGGTAGGCTGGTTCGAAATTGCTACCGGGGGATTGCGCAACAGTTCTTGACGGAGTCGGAGGTATTTGTAGCACGACCAAACCATGTTTAGCAGGTAAGCCTTGAAGATCACCGCCATCATGAGATGGAAACCGTGCAGAGGAGGCTCTCGGCTGTGCGGGGAAGTGTGGTGTTCAGCGAAGCTGCCGATCAGATCGAGCATTGCGATAGCGAAATCGAAGCAAAGATACGCGAAAAACGGGAGAATATACGGTGGCTGTCCCCAAAAGGCTCCATATACAACGAGCATGGCGATGAATCCGAAGAGGATGTTCAACAACAACGACGAGACGAGATTCTTCTTCGGAGCCATGACCACCTTCGATATCTCAATTATGGTATCCCGATGGATTTCCATGTAGTTTTGATCCAGATCCATGCTCGTCTGCACCACCGCTGTCTTCGGTGGGATCAGAGCGTCCGGGTTGAGGATTGCTGTGGCCAGGATGGCCACAGCGGCCATCTGCATCATGACATGGAACAGTCCGGAAGCGATGGTTCCTGAAATTGGATGAGAGATTGCATTTAGGAGGGATCTCTCGCGCTGAGCGACTTTGGTATCATATCGTAAAGAAGGACTCAACGAGCGATCGATTGGCCTCCGCATGGACAGACATCGAAGTTCTTCGTGCAAGTTCCGAATTACGGCATCTCTGGGAAAGAGACAGCGCGAACCCCGGCGTTTTTCGCTCGGCGCCTCACTATTAGAGGAAGCTGGAGGGAGGCAAGCGACGCAGTAAATGGCGAGGCCAATCTAGGCCTCGATCGATATTAATTGATCTGCTTCTCCTCTAGACTCCATAACCTGACGCTTCCGCGCTCGAACTCGGAGCTTATTTTCCAGGGTTGCTCCTAGGCGTAGCTCATGCTCCGAGGAGCCCATATATTTTTTGCCTATTCGTTTTAAGCCTCTGCCAATGACTATTCTCTTGGATCATCCGGAAATGGCGCCCAACATCGAGCCGTTGCACAGAAAAAGATTCTCACTCAGTGTAGGGAAAGAGTGCAGGCTTATCGAATCGTTTCCGACATTCCCAGAAGCTTGGAACACAATGCGAAACGCGATCAGAAATATTTCATTCCGTGACCAATGTGACGCGGTGAGAAGCCTCGGAACAAAAAATGCTCCTCGTTTCCACCACCGAGCATCGGTTGCAGGCACGTCCACGGAATTCTCGCTTCTCGGGCGAACAGGATCACGTCTCACCCTCTCGCTTGTACTCCAGAGTTTTCAATCGTACTAGACCAACGAATCGCGGAATAGTGGTCAGTCCAAGTGTTTGCGCTATGGCATTTAGAGACAGTATCCTTCGAACAACAATTTGAGAGTGACCTCTCGAAAAGAATGACCACCAATCAGGTGGGTTCGGGAAGGAGGTCGATTCGGGAAAGATAAGAGGAGAGATGCGTCGACCTCTGAGCCGACACTCCACTCGAAATCTCTTCATGAAACGAAGTCGGAATCGAAGCGGCCGTCTAGCTGGCTAAGGTCGCTCGGGCGTCGGCTCTCACTGACCAGGACATGCCCTTACAATACTCAAGAGAAACGATCGAATAATTGGTCCTCGTCGCACCGCTCTCAAGCCTGACGCCTCCATCGAAGAAAAGGGAAGCTGTGAGAGTGGCCTGCATAAGGCTCAGAGCCGAGTATACTTCCGCATGACATTTAGGCTAATACTCCTCGATGACGTCGATGAACTCTCTGGCAGACGGTAGCGAAAGAGTTGGAGCCTAATCCTACATCCGTTTCGATGAGAGCGGCGAGGAGACATCTATTCTAGACGTCGGTGAGAGTGTACGAATGCCACGAGCTTTACAAATTGGACAGCATCTTCTTTCCGGTCGCCGTCTCGTCTCGGGATCATATGTCATAATTGCGAGCGCGCCCCGGGAAACTGGGAAATAGGCCGGTTTCCAGGAGATGTGATCACAGGCGTTCGTGAAAGGCGTAGATTGGCGTAGAGAGCCAGAGAACTTTGTTTCTTCCCCCGGCTAAACCCCACGAAGCCATTCCGAACGGCTTTCCGAGGAGCCCTATGCCGATCCTGATGCTCATGTCGAATAGGGTCGATCTTGTTCCCTCCGACCGATCGATTTCCGCTTCGGACATTGAGTCAGCCACGAAATCCTCAAGTTGAGACATGATTTCAGACAGCACATAGCTCCTGCAAGGATCTGCCCAATATGGAAAGCGCGGGGGAACACGCCATGGATGATTCATTCATGAAAAACGAAGTATCATCCCAAGGTACCGCTTAGTCTCCGAAAGAATGCTGGTGCATACTCCTCCATCCCATATTTGACGTCGACGCCTTGCGTTGTATGACGCGAAACAGGAACTGGACCCCTATCCAAAGGCTCTGATAGCATGTTGGCTTGACAAGGTGTCGATCCGCCCATCGTATCAGCGTGATAGAGACCAGCCACGAAATATTTGAATCCATTCAGCAAGGCCTGAATTCACAACGAGTTTCGCCGCAATACACTGACACGAAACCAATGAGCTTCACGAATTCGAGCGTCGCACAAGGTTGAACCGGCGGAACGCACGAGAACAAGCTCGTGCGAAGCATTGTTCTACATATGTCAATTGAAGCGTCGCGTCGCTGTGAATCGATGGACGGTCAGTACTCCGCTCTTCCCAAGATCCTGGCAGCCGACGGTACCGAGCAAAAATTTACTCGATTAGACTGCAAAACGTCTACACAGGTCGGGGTTGGCCTCTCTTCCGTAATCATAGGTGCGTATCGCGTCAAGAAAAATGTAACGAGAAAAAAAGAACCAGGAAGAGAGCGCTTCTCCGGGATGGAAACGAGGTGACTCTCAAACACAGGAGGAAATCGTGCCTCTCATCGGAAGGCCTTGAATCCTGGACCTGAACGTAGGGGGAACATGAATGTCTCAGCAAATGATTTATGGGAGCCATTCGATCGAACTACAAGCGTCGAAAAAAGTGCCGCTCGAACGTCGACGATGATGGCCACATATATCCTCTGATACTGTAATATGTCTATCGACGGGAGGCTCGCGAGTACGCTCTCAACATCAGGAAGATGCCAAACTTAGACCACCGAGCCTATCAATTCATCGAACCCTTGAAGATTGTCTGGCTTGCGCGACATGACGCAAGATTCGAAAGATTCGACTTTGCTCCGACCGCAATATCACCATTGGGCGATCTCTGCCGCCGAGGCATCGTTGTTGACAGAAATATTCGGTACGGAATCATTAATCCAGAAACTAAGAGTCGTACGGCGTCGACCCGCTACCCGTGCGAACGATTGGATCACAGTCGAATTCAGCTTCGTAGCCGTGATCCGAAGTTTCGACAGCGTCGCTCGCGCAGTCATCACTGGCTTATGTCATTTCTTCTGACTGCAGGCTGTTTCCAAATCAATTTGCGCATCTTCGTCTGTGGCTATGAGTTAACAATGCCCGAAACAACACGAACTATTGGCTTAATCGGAGCTGCTCTCACGCAATCAGGATACGCAGGTAGCACGAACTGCGAGCGAAATCTATGAGAGATCGTGTACATATTCCTCACACTTTCGCGTTCATCGAGGGCCGTCGCTCTCGGCCCCCCGGACGATCGGGAGACCTAAATTCCCCTCCCCAGCTCCAGAGACGCAGATAGAGTTCGAGCCCTTTTGGCGGATCGCGACGCAAAACCGCAATGTATATGTAATTGATGATTGACAATGCTGTCTATCGCAAAGACGCTCACCTGTGCGAACATGAACGCAGCAGCAGCATTGGAAATCTCTGCTGTGGAGTAGGTCATGATGAGTTTTGATCCGCGAATTCCTACCCGCCTCCATGGCATCGATCCGACGTCTCGGAGTCGATTCTTCTGTCGACGCCGCCAGTCTGGTGGCTCAGCAAGGGATCGGATGTCCCCTTTTCGAGTTCTTTAGAAAGCGCTGCACAAGCACGGCAGCCAGAGTGCAACGAGCAATGGCTTCTCAGTAACTGCGGTTGCTCTCGCTAGAGTAAAGGACTGCTCGTCTGGCTGCTTGACGCTGGCTGTTGCTTGTGTTTGCCTATTCCTCTCCAGGACAACAAAAGATGATGATCTTGTCTATCCAGGGGCGGCCTGACGGGCGACCCAAACGGAAGTCGTCCGCCACTTCTCGAAACAGACATCTCCAAGCTCCCATCGGAATGAGTCTATCACTCCCATCTCCTCCGTATCAGCTTCCCGACCTGCGCGTTCCCGGTTCATAATCAAGGACTGATCAGATCGTCGTCGGGGTAAAATCGCGGTAAGCCAAGCAAGGTTTCCTGGATCGCTTATCCACGTTTCTCACCGAAGAGGGTCTCTGTGCCGCATTCTGCATCGAATGCATTCATCCGACGAGGTATATCCCAACCCCCATGGACACGGGTACACGGGTATGAGGTGGTATGAGAGAGATGGCGCGCGGAATAAGAGAACAATAATAACTGAACGTCGAGAAATATTCACACTACTTAGTCTCTTACAGTGCAATAAGACTCTTTGCTTCAAGCGTTGAATCCTCGACATTTTTCGTATCTGGTGGAGCTCCCGTCGGTGGTGTCGCGCTCGGAGGAGTCTCAGATTTTCGCTGTCCTGAGCTTTTCGTACGCAAACATCGACGACGGAGAGAGATCGTGCCAGAGAGTTCTGTGAGACAAAAACTTCTGGCATCGGGTGTTCGGGGTCCGAACGGTCCTCGTTCGGAATGAGTGTCGATGAGCTCAATGATGCTCTGTTCAGTCAGGACGACAGGGCGGAAATTGGATACGGAGGTCACAACGACTTCGTCAGCAGTAAGATTCCAAAAAGACGTATCGGTGACAGATAGAGATTGATGTTTCCCGATGTCCGCGGCCTAGGGTAGCTTCTCGATAGAATTAATATTTTCCTCTGATTCCCCGCTCTGAAGAACTCATTGAGAAAGCAAGAGCAAACAACCAAGATGCTGTCAAAACCCCACCGCCGCCGATGAAACTTCACGGCGGTCGACTCGGACAGCTGAGGAAGCAGCGCAGAGACAGCAAAGAAGTCGAGTCCGCTCTCCGAGCTCTGAAAAATCCTATTCGTAAAGTGAGTGTTTTCCTCGAGCATTTTCTCCCTGGCTCTTAATGTTCCAGCCTTCCTCACTTGGACTTCTACATATTCTCTACACGACGATAATATTGTGCTAGTGACTGACGAACCATCCACACGTCGTCGTCTCTGTCTCTACGAGTTTCACATTCCTCATACTTCTGCAGATAAGACCGATAGATCGACATTCTTCTAATATTCGAATTCCTAGTATCTGACAGCCGTCGTCCCCGAGATCTTCGTGCGATTCTTTGACCTTCTATGATCGATCACAGCTGCGATCCGCAACTATTTCCTTGTAGCTGTTTGCGAAATACATATATCCGGCAATCACCGCTACAGTGAAATTTTATTTCTTCTTCAGCCGAGCTCACCTGGTCCTGTCACGCGCTCGCAAACGGCGGAGAGCGCAACGCCGACGAGAGACGCGAGGTCGAAACCATCGCTGGACGACAGTACGGAAGCTATTTTCGGTGCTCTACCGCCCACGCCGAACCTCGAGCGAACCCAGAAGAATTTCACGCCACGTAACAATCGAGTCGTGCCTTTTAGAAGGAGCGAGATAAAGTGAGTTGGATCCAGGATCTCGCAGTCACTGATATGATGAATCTGGATCGGAGCTCAAGAACTCGGAAGATTATCTGATTGAGGGAACGATCCTTTGTTCCGCAGCAGTACCAGTACGCCCGATTCCTCCCTCAAGCGACCGTCACGAGCGAAAAATTCGAGCCGAGAGCGCGCCGCCTCGAGCAGCTCATTCGGTCTGGACCGTTCGACAGGATCGACTGGTTACGGCGGTTCTTCCAAAAAAGATGAAAACCGAGGAGATGATGACGAAGATTCTCTGGACGAGGATATCTTGAATGAAGCAACTCAGAGGGTTGAAGCTCAGCTCGCACTCAGTCAAAGAATCCCAAAGCCTAGGTGATTTCACTTATCCCCTTCACCATTGAATATCCTTGTAGCCGTCCACGGTGCCAGCTTCGTCTCACTAGAAACGTCCCTCGTCAGCAGGTCTCCCAAGCCAAGTGTGCTCAGAGACAATTCAGCGAATGAAACGCCCAGAACCGCCGGTCGGGTGAGGCCGATGTCCACCTTGAATATTTCGAACTTGAATTCGAAGAGCAAGTCTGAAGATTTCAAAAACAAGCTGAGGTCATCTCAAACCCCGAAAAAGCTCCCGATAACGACCACTAGGGCAGCGCTCCGTGAACCCAGTAAGCATTGCTCTATTCAGACATCCATATAGTAAATTCAGACTGGAGGATGTATCCCGCTTAGGCAATGAAATTCGGATCATTCGAAAGGAGGATACCTAATTATGATAGCTCAGTACAGAATCATAACCCGACCGTATCTTTCTAGATGAGCCCTCACGGGTGAAATGTACGCAGGAAGAAATTCAGAAGAAGAAGGAAGCAGCTTTACTGCGACGGAAACTGAAAATGAGCGTCAAATAGCTCCAAACCTTATAATACCGTATTGAACTTGATCTTCTTCCTCTCGCTCTGATCTCCGAAGAATGTTCGCTCACCAGGCGTTGACACGATATCATTGTGTTCCAAAGAAAACATGTCCGTAACATTCATGAGAGTTGGTCATGAAGTCATGAATTACACACGACCGAATTGCCGAAGCATGTTTCCAGATAGTTCATAGAGACTGTGGATACTAGGACCTCCGAATGCTCGACGTCGCGGTCCTATTCTTTCGCTCTCCGATACTTCCCGGTTTGAAGAGATTGAGAAATAATTCGAGGCTTCTCCCGATAATTCGACGAACGGCTCTTCCCGGCCCACGTTTGCTGGGAAGGGATATGCACAGATTATTCAGGGCAATAAAGCGAATCACATGTCACTCAACATCCATGGGGATAATCGATTCGTCAATGTACTTTCCCCGGACTTCCAGCATTCTGGCAAGTCGTGATGCAGGAAAACCTCCATCATAATGACCATAGGGCATCCTCGTCTGGTCACCTGATGCTTGCAGTCCAACCGGAGACGTAGGTAGGTACCTCGTGTTTTCATGAGTCATCTCAGTTCCATTCCCGGGAATAAAAATTCCTGTGGACTTCAATTATAATCGAAGTCCACAATCTGGAGGGGGAGTCGCAGAGCAAACACTCCACTTAATTTATGTACAAGTGTTGGTTATATGCATCCGTAGGTAGCACGGAAAAATATTCTTATAGATTGAGGAACTTTAATAAAAACAGTCTTATCTTGTCCCTGGATTTTCAATCGAATAGCGCTGTGGGTGCTCTGGGGCGGTAAGCAGAATCGGCAACGAATCTCCGTAGCCGGTAGAAATCAGGGACCAAAATATGGGGCTAATCCGTCGACGTCTGCCCGAAAATAGTCTGCCCGAAGCCGGTCAAACATTGATTATGATCTCCAAAGCCCGGACTCAGAGTCTATGCAGGTCTCAGTCAGTGTCCTCTAGCGCCGACGGGTTCGGCGACGTTCGCCAGGACATCAGCTCTGTTTCTTAGTGCAGGCGGATCCCGCTGCTGGAGATGCCAGTTGCGTTGGATAAGCCGGTCGAGGACCAGCTCTCCACCATATTATTGTCCGCGAACCCGTAAACACATTTCACCCTGAGTTCGACTCATGCGCAAAAAGTCCACATTGACCTCAGAGAATGGGAGAGCTTTGAGAGGAGCGGAGGAGAGGCAGGCTTCTCTGACTCTTGACATTACCATCACCATCATCATTGACGGAGGGACTTTCTCGATGAAGACATGTTGGAGTATTCCTTCCTTCATTACAAAGTATTATATCGCTAGTTTGGTGCGGCCACGAAACTCCCGACACACGTCAGGACGCCTCGGACAAGGCAATGCAATTGCTTATCCGCGGACAGCACAGACCATCAGAGGCGCGACGGACCATAACCGAATCTAGAGGGCGATCGCGTGGTCTCTTAAGGCGGTTGAATCATATAGAATGAGACCAGCGAATGCCTGAAACATGACGCTTCCTCGATTCGAACGCCCGTCTCCTATCCTCCGTATTCGCTCTTCAGTTTGAGCTTTCTGGAAGATCTCGACAAGTATCGCTTCAGTAATTTATCCATACGTGCTTCGGCGTCATCCGAAAATCTAGCTGACCCTTAGTCTTGCCAATGATGGAGGCGTTCTTCTCCGGACTGAAATCATAGAATTGGAAAAGAAAATTCTGTTTTTCTTTCGTTTTTCATAGTAGAAGCGTCGACGTCCGAACGAAGGAGGGATAAACAGGCTCAGTCTGCTATCCTGGCATGAAATATCAGGAGAGAGACGTCTCGTTGAATTGCTCAGCTCCCGTCGGCAGATAATCGCTCTCCTCCAATCTTTCGACCAATCTGAGTTAACCAAACCCCTTGATCATATGTGTGAGGCCGTCTCAGTTCTATGATTTTTGGCTTGGAGAGAGCGCACCAAGCCGCTTGCGGATCGCTCTGGTGGGTTCTTTGCCGAATGAGGACCCGTGCCGAAGCGGCTACTCAAGATCCAGATCAACATGAGGAACACTATTCATTATTTCTGAACGTTGCGTAGCTGTACGTGCCTGCGGCGAGCAGACAATTGCTCCTCTCTCTCTCTCTATACGGAGAGAGGGGAGCGTCTTTCCAGATTGGAGAGGCAATTCGTTTTCGTGAGAATGATAATGGTGCTGCTGCTCCTTGAGTCTACCATTCCCTCGGCCTGATAATTGCCTTTGTCTCGCAGTACTCCCGTTTCATTCACAATCTTCTCGTTTCAAAGCAAGCGTATCGAATCTCATCTCTATCGCGTGATCTCAAGGAGTCTGTAATTCACGAGAAACATGCGGCAGCAATTATCCGATGTAGTACGCTCTTCGGAACAGGCAAGGAGGAATACACAGAAAGGGCTAACCCTGAAAAGTCGAGAAACTCCTCCGAATGGAGTTCAGGAGCTGATTTCCCCACGGAATCTTCCTAAGGAGGAATCTTGATTCTCCACTCCTGAACTACTCCATGCTGGGACCAATCCCGCGGTTTCTGTTCCTCTAAGGCGAACGAATCGCGAGGGCTATTTTCCCGCAGCTCGGATTGCTCGTTAGCCTCGTCGTATCTCGCAGGCGCTCTATTCCGGAGAATCGGTGTTGGCTCTATCCTCTCGGGGGTCTCCGGGTCCTCGAAAGTCTAAATCCCGACTCGAGGAGCGTCACTCATCGTCGATCACTCGGCGGCGTATGGACGGGAACACCTGGGCGGCATTTCCCCGGAACTACTCCGAGACAGACTTCAGCCGGAAACAGAATTCCCAGTGATGAGCTGTTCCCCGGCAGGATCGTGAAAGGCCAATGAAATGAGTAAGCGTCATCGGGAGTTCGTTTCGAGAGCTGACCGGCCCGAAAATCGGAAGATGGTTCAGAGTCCCCTGTCGATGGCTCTTCAGATAGCTACCGCGTATCAGCTTATTTTAAATCAGGATCGGAGGAAGTCCGACATCTCGGTGTCCTCCTTCAGCGTTTCCTCTGAATCAATCGTCATGCGGGAAGAGACCATCGCGAGCACTCGTCTCGCCCTTGCCGAAATAAAGAGCCATCAAAGCGCCGCGCCGCCGCTTTTCTTTGGAATTCCGCGGGTCTCGATTGCAGGGTCAGCTCACAAACGGTCACGGCAAAAGGTTTGTACCTATATGAGTCACTCCACTGCGCTTATCGGAGTGACTGAGAGAGAAGGCCTCGCGCCCTCACTGATTCTCTAGACAGGCCTCGACCGATCCCGAATTGAGGCTCAGAGATCTTTGGAGAGAAGAGTTGGCCTGCTTCGCAAGAGACCGTGGAGTCGAGGTTGAAGTAGGCCAAGAAGAGAAACTTCTGGTCACCATCTATCGACGACGACAGACGACACGCAGAGATTGTCAGTCGGTAGAATCCAACGTACTGAACGTCGCACCAGGCCAGGCAGATCCAGCACTGGCCACCGAGCGAACAGAAAGCTGGTGTAGCTAGCTGGAGCAGCAGCAGCGTCCGTACCACAGGAGGGAGCTTACCATCACCGAATCCGCCGCCGCCGTCGACGCTTCCATCACCGTCACCGCCACAAGCAGCGGCAGAAGGCAGACGGGCAGAAAAGCGACGGACAGAAAAGCAAGCAACCTCGAGCCACATCAGCTTCACGCTTCGTCGGGTCGTGCCATTTGAACGTCGAGTGATCGGAAACGTTGGGGAAGAGCCTCGTTCTGAAAAAGTGAATCATCCACTCGAGCAGGGTTTAGAGCCACTCGTCATGGCCTCGCCGAGCCCAAGGCGGAGCCCAGGTCGCCAACAGCCGCAGCCTCCTCAGGACGATGTCTCCGATGACGAGTTTTCCTGCGATACCCAAGTGAGTGTTGATCTGTGATAAGTGATAAGGCTTGATGTAGTTGCGACTTCATTTTTGCTTCTCTAAAACCACTACTACCACAACTACAACGTGAACGAGGGCGGTCGTTGCGATCACGACTACTAACAACTCCATCTAGACTGCACCGCGACGTAAACACCGTCAGTAGTCGTGGTGGAAGTCGCAACAGCAGCAGCGCTTAACGTGTGTTTGGTACAACGAGGACCGATTCTCAGAGCATTGACGACTGATGGGCAAACGCTACGTGGTCCACGGCAGCGAGCGAGAAGTACGCATCTTGTGCAAACTTGGCAGCGGTACAAGTTCGATTACGTCACCAACGTACAGCTCGACGTCGAGGAGCGACGCGCCGAGGTGCCGAGACAGTTGCGACGGCACGGAAGCGATTCCGGTCTCGGGATTATAACCTCAAGAAAGAAAAAGAGCCTGGGAACCCGGAACCTGCCGACCGCTCACCATGTCGGAATACAAGGAAGAATTCGATCTCCTTTTCGAGAAATCTCGGGCCGACCTCGACGATTATCTCAGGGGTTTGGCTCTCGACTTGAAGCTGAAACCCGAGTCCGGGTTCCGATCTATATACTGGCGGATTTTTCTGGACTGTCTCCCCGAAGATCGGCATGAATGGCCGCAAGCACTGCAACGGAAACGTCTCGAGTACACAGAGAAAATGTCCGAGTTCGATTTCAATCCACGAGAAGAGGTCGGCGACAACCCCTTGTCTCAGGACAATCAGTCCAAGTGGCACCAGTACTTCCAGGATGAAGAACTCCGGCAGATGATCCAACAAGATGTGGTTCGAACCTGGCCCGAGATCGACGTATTCCAGAAGGTGGAGATCCACGACATGATGACAGCGATACTCTTCTATTATTCGAAAGCAAAGCCCGCCCTGTCGTACCGGCAAGGTATGCACGAAATCCTCGCGCCCATAATCTACGTGATACACTGTGATCAGGTCGCATTTACGAATGCCAAGAACAGCGGTGACGTCAACGGTCTCAGTGAAAGTGATTTACGGATGCTCGAGGATGTGCTCGACCCTGCGTTCACGGCCCACGATTCCTACGCGATGTTCTGCTTTTTGATGGAAACCCTGGAGAGCTGGTACTCGTGCACAGAGAACGGTCAGGTCGTTCAACACAATCCCCAGCCATTCTCGAAGTCGTCCCTGGAAGTTCAAACGGTTCTCGGTCTCAAACTGAACAAAATCAACCACTACATACTCAAGCGATTGGATTCGACGCTCTATGCGCATCTACAGACTCTCGAAATCAATCCGCAAGTGTTCGGGATCAGATGGCTGCGCCTCTTGTTCGGAAGAGAGTATCCCTTGCACAGTGTACTCTGTCTTTGGGACACGATATTCGCGGATTCCATATCACTCGACTTGGCCGACTACATTTTCGCGGCCATGTTGGTCGCTCTGCGGGATCGTCTCCTAGCCTCGGATTATACCGATTGTCTCGGTTTCCTCATGCGCTATCCCGAGGACGTCGACGTATATTTCGTCATGAAGCTGGCCCTGCATTTCCGGGACAACTACAAATATCCCCGACCGAACATCGACCAGACCTCGATTGAACGACCGAGATCACCGAAACGACCGCACAACAAGCCAAACAGGCCACAGACTCTCGAATTTCTCTCGCCCGATTCGGACGAGACCGATTGGCAAAACATGGTCAGTAGTGGAAACGGAGGAACGGCTCGAGAGCTCGGCATGACGACGACAGGTCGACAGCTCGTTCAAATGCGAACAAGGGTGGCAGAATGTGCGCTGGCCATGGACGCGAATCTTTCGACGCTCCAGAACGCCGTCAGGTCCACAGGAATAGCCGAAGAGGCGTTGGTTGCCCTGGCTCAATTGAAAAGCATCCGAGACCAACTAAAGGAGATGTCCGGGGCTGAGGACATCGAAGAGGAAGATTGGACTTTCGTCGGAACCCCTCAAGAGAACAGCGGCTCGTTCGATGTGCTGAAAAAAAAATTAAATGGTTTCATCAATCGAGACTGATTCTGAACTAGAGATCCTGCTGACGGAGAATGTCATCCGATATCGCGGCGATTCATCATCGTCGCCGTTGCGGCCGCGTCAATGTCGTAGCATCAGATGCGAGCGACTTTTACCTTTTATGGGAGACGTCGAGCTTGAGGGAGCCACATGTCCATCCGATGAAGCGAAGCGTTGAGCGGACGTTCGTCTGCGTGACGATGTCCAAGTCAATCACTATACGTGATATGGAATGTCAAATGAGATGATCTTCTCGCGGGAACTCCCGATGGCACCGGCTCTTCGCGATCAGTACCTCGAGGTATTGATACGATGGGACGTAGGTAGGGATCACCCGATGAGAGAGCAAGCTTGCGTCGTGCGTCATTCTTTCGGTCGAACATTGAAAACGATTCTCCCCCGTGCAATTTACAAGCATGGCTCCTTTCCTGTATGTACGTGAAGACGGGTTCTTACGTTATCGATCCCGGAGCCCTCTGCTTGAAACCAGGCGAGGTTACACAACAAAATGAGAAGTTCGAGAGAAATACTCAACAGATGCGACCAGTCATAAGCTGAGATCTGACATGATATACACCTTTATATACAGATGTCAAATAGGTACATAGTTGTTGGATAGGTACAACTGTCGAAGGAATCAATCCAAAAAACACGAGCCAATATGTGATGAATATACCTATTGTATCGCTCCGATTGTCGCTCTGCACCAAAGTATGAGTTTGAGCATTCACAGACTCCCCGCCGAGTCCTCAGAGTGGTTGACGGAATTTCAAGTTCTTCGGAAGCCTGCCTCTCGAAGAACGGCGGCGCCTTGTCTCTAAGAGAGCGGAATCTTCGGAAATAAACGCGAACTTGTTACTTGACCTAGAGGTATTCTTTCCATCGGTCGAATCCATCGAGAGTCAGCTACGCCCTCCGAGGATTGCAGAGAGCGCTCGACTAATGAATCACCGCTTCGGCGCCGCGTAGTGCGCTCGCGTGGGAGCGCATGATTGTTGTCTGTAGATCGCATGATAGATTAGTCTCCTGAGGCGGCGAGTCTGCTCGAGATGAAAGCAATCTCACCGATAGACTTCCAAGTGTTTTGTTCGTCGGAAGTCGCGCGGGGTGTGTTGTCTCTCCGCCGTCGAAAAAATCAGCACCAAAGTGCGACAGGGATCGCGTGGAAACGGACATGCGGTCTTCCGAGAGCACACGGAGGCTACAACAGGAAAAAAAGAGGCCAACAAAGGCGTGACTCACGCAATGGAGCAGTCGAGAGCGGGGCTGCCGACGTTTCCGATCCGTTTTTGGTGGACCTTGGGAGCGCCGTCCCGGAGGAAAAGTTTGTTTTCTGGTCCATCAAGTCCATCCGAAGGCCCGCTCGAGGAGGAGGAGGCACTACGTGAATCAATTAAAAATTGAGCGCTGCAGGAGAATTTCTATTTTGATGTGACCGGAAGCCGTTGAAAATTCCGGCATCTGTTGTCGGAAACGCACGCTTCAGGGACCGGTTCCAAGTGAGCCAAAGATTGCGATCTTCGATTATTCGACATCCACGTGCCTGTCTTCAACACTCCAAAAATCATAAGCACGGGATTCCTCGCAATGTCACCATTCCAATGCTGAGCGATTCGTTTTTCGGAAGGATTCGGTTTGGCATCGGAGTCATTACCCACGGTTGGATATATACCTGCGGTGGGATAGATGCGAATCTCCGTGCTCAGAGCTTGCCCCTAAATCCCGCCTAGTGACCTGCTGGAGATTGGAGACCTGTTTACGATCGGAAAAATCGCTTCCGAAGGGCCATGAGTCACCCGCGCGCATTTCGATCTCTCTGGCGCTGCTCGGAACACACGAGAGAGGAAAATAAATATACTGCGAACTTTTCCGCTGAGGTTCAGAGTCGACTCGAATCCGTTCGAAATCACATTCTATGGAATAGTTTTCGATTTTCAGAAGATGCTCCATGTGGGGTTTCACGGCCTGATTCCTTAGAAGAGATGGTCACATTTCGGAAAATTAAAATGATCACGATAATTCCAGTTATTCGACGAGCACGAGAAGCAATCCAAGAGATTCCGAAAGACCCTCTACTATGGGGAACTGCCTCAATACTCCGACCGGCCTTCTCTGGCACTGACTTCACTCGCACTGGAATTCTTTACGAAATCTTTACCGCCTCGAGATGAACTTCGATTTTTGGATATGGAATACGCTTCGAGAGTGATGAGGTAGGTCGCCCCTATTGAGCAGGTGTTCGAGGCCAGCATTCCATGGGGAGAGAATGAACATTCGAGTTGCAATCCAAGCGATTTAATGCGATTCCATACTTCATGGGGATTTCGTTCTTTTTTCAGGAACGCCTGCGTCACGCCTGCCTCGGTGGTTATTGCCCTGATGTACGCCGATCGACTTCGCCAAAACAATCCTCAATACATGGCTCAAGCGAACTCTTGCGATCTCTTCCTAGTGTCGATGCTGGTTGCCTCCAAATTCCTCTACGACGACGGAGCTGAGGACGAAGTTTTCAACGGAGACTGGGCAGAAGCTGCTGGACTAGAACTCTCGCAGCTGAATCGCGAGGAGAGGAAGTTCCTTCAAGCGATTCAGTGGAAGCTAATGGTACGTCGCATCTCGAGGGTCGAGCACTCGATCGAGGCGAAACAAGGCTGCATCTGCTCAAGTCGAGCGGATCGATTCGACTTTCGAATTTCCGAAAGTTCTCTTTCGAATGCTGTGAGATGGATTTTCTAGTGACAGAAACTATCAGCTCAGGCTCGATAGGAATTGAGCCGTAAGTCTGTGTAGCTCACGATCTCTCTGTTGTTCACAGGTCAAGGCCAACGAATTCGATTTGGTAGTCGCCGACATGGAAAAACGAATCGCTCTCAAAGAGTTATCGCGCCGGAAAGATTCGACTTTGACGTACACCGAACTTGACGTGCTCACGAAACAATCTCGCCCAATATCAGACATCTATGCCGCGCTATACGACCATATGCTCAAGGCACGTACCATCGAGGCTTCCTGCGCATAATCGAGGCGGCGCCACATAGCGTACCCATATAGCGATTCAGCAAAGCTGACCGAATCTCTTTCCAGGTCGTGTCCGTATCCTTGATGAGCTACTGCGCCTGTCTTCTGACGGTTTTCGCGTCCGTGGCCGCAGTGAACTATGTGATTCCCGTGCTGAAAACCTCCAAACTGGGCTTGCCCACCACGAGTTCTGAGACCAACGCCACCATGCCAATTGCCGGAGAGAGCTCATTGCCTCAATCTGGTCTCCTTTTGGAGCATCAGAAAGAGTTGGCCATCATTCTGAGAGAGGGAGTCGAGATCGAAAACTCGACCTTCTGCTGCCGAGAGTATTCCGGTCAGTTTCTACCGATCCTCCTCATCGGGGAGCTTTGTCCTAGAGGATGCGCGGTGTTCGCGGTCGAGCATCCGATGTGGGGACCGACATCGAGCATGACGCTGACGGTGCTTGATTCCTCTTTCAGATGATATCGACGTCCTCGCTGGTCGGGAGCAGAAGCCAAACTCGTTCGGACCGAGATCGTGGGAGATATTGGATCAAATGAGGATGAATTCGAGATTTGGCGTACTACCCAACGATGTCTTCCCCTTCTCGAGAGAGCCTCGAGTGATATTTGCCTGAACGGATTGATTTTTCTCGTCGAGTTGAGTTTCAATGCCAAACTGGCGCCAAATAATATATTATCGGGTCTCGATGCACGCGCACTCGTCGTGCGATGGGTACTTAATATTTCATGCACGTTGTAAGGCTCAAAACTTGCGGGAAAGGTTACACTGTGTTATTCGTCGAGCCGATGAACCGATTCTCACGGAGTAAGGTTCAGCGTTGAGCGTAACTTCCGCCAAGTATACAACCTGTCGAATAAATTATTGCCACAGTTTGCCAAATAAGCTAGTTTTGATTGCGCTAGGAAAACCGACACTATCGAGAAACTTGATCCGAAACTAGCGTCAGAACCAAGTCGAGCAGCTGTCGGGGATCAGTCATCCGTCCCAGAGGTCATTCCCGGAGAGCTGGGCGCCGATTCTCTGCTCTCCTCGAAACACATCGGTCGATGATACTCCTGACCTTTCCGAGAATCAATCGAAGCATGTAGGGAATATCGGGGATTCGCGGAAAAAAATTCCCGATCGGCGTCTTCGCTGATTCCTCATGCAGAGGAGACTCCGGTCCTCTATCTGAGCTCACCCGGAAATCCAGACGGGAATTCTTCAGAATCTCATCTTGATAGCTCTCCGCTAAGATCGCGAGGTCCAGCACTCAAGGAGCGTCCCCCTCCAAATGCTGACCCTTGTTTCGGGACTCGAAATCGACGATCTTACCACCAGAGAAGTCGACCGGTCATCGACCCGCCATGCAAAACATCGTTCCGCGCGGGAAAGTCCAGCGTGGACAGAATCGAGCGATGAGAATTTGTCAAACAGAGTCGATAAACCTACAGGCGGCGAACAAGCCGAAAAGCATCCGAGCCGATGAGCAGACCCCCGTCCCAATCAGCGGAGCTTTCCAGCGAGCCTCTCATCGACGCGCGGTCGATCTGCCGGCTACTTCGACTCCAGACATACTTCGATTGACAGATGTGAAATTCTTGACGATATCATCGGCGGCGGTTCGGGCTTCGGGCTTAGATAATAATCGATCGACGGAAATGCTCAACACCGTCCAGAATAAAGGCGGTGGCGTTGCTTCGACCGGTTCGTTTGTCGAAACGTCCTGGTATTTCGACGTTGCCGCTCCGACGTTCCATTGCTCGATCAAACGATGGATTCGTTGTCCCAGCACTGCGGAACCAATGAATCAATGGAATCAGAGCCGCGTCAGGAGACAGCGGCAAACCAGTAAAAGAGCAAGTATTCCGAATCCCTCTCCAGCAGAAGAAAGGAGTCGGATGAATTTCAGTCACTACATACCAGCAGCAGCAGCAGCAGCAGGCCAGCCATCGACCTGGCTGTCGTGAGCGGCTTCTCGATGCTTTCGCCGAGCGAAGCTTTTCTTCCGACTCTTTCGAGCCGTTCGGTGGGATGGACATCGCAACGATCTTGTTGTGATGACGAGTCTCTGGATTGTCTTGTTTCTCCTCACTGCGCCACCATGCTGTGTCCGCGCGTCGAAGGATCATCTCCCATTCTCCTACCTGATGGTTGACGACTGCCCCACGCAGCTGTTGCGCTTCACGACGTCCGAAACCAACGTTTCTGACACTTTAGATGATTCCTCCAATGGCATAATCGCCGAAGGAAAACAGAAGATGATCGTTTTCGTGGTTCCCGGTAAGTGTCCAATGAGATTCGACTCCGCCTCGACGGGTGACAGGACGACGACTTTTCTTCGCTTACGTCCGGCAAGACTCCACGGCTCGGTCCCTGGACAGTCGGGCGTCTCTCGAGCAGCTCGGAATGAATCGAATCTCTGTCTCTGACTTCGTCTCAGGAAACCCGGGACCGATCGGATTCTACGCCGACTTCATGAAGGAAATTTTCGCCGGGAACGAGGATGGTATCGAGGTCTGGGGAGTTTCTCACGCAGGGCATGTGGTTCTACCGAAAAACATGCAGAAACCCTACTCGGACATGAAAAGGTCTGTCAGGAGTTGCATTCGATGAGCCTCCGGAAGGCTCTTGGTGGGGACGCTCACTTGCGATCTCCAATCGCCAGTCTAATGTATTGTAATATCGTACTCCTCTGCGATCTCTTTCAAGATGGTTCTCTACCGCTGGGGAAGTGGAACACAAAATGCGTTTCCTTCAAAAATACGTACCTAAAGAAACACCGCTGGTTCTGATTGGGCATTCCATAGGCAGCTACATGGCACTTCAGATAACCGACAAACTCAAGGATCACAATGTTAGTCCTCATGGAGAAAATACATCTGGACCTCCTCCATTTAGATTTCCACATGGGTCCTCCTAATGTACATATAATTTCCATCCGAGGAACTTCCTCTGGGCTTTTCCTCTGGGTACCCATTCCCATCCTGCCCGCCGCGGGTTTTCCCTCGGGCTACGGTTCTCACAAGATCGTTGATTTCCAGATTGTACACACGTATCTCTTATTCCCCGCCATCGAGCGTTTAGCCCGAGGAATGAACGCACCTATGTTGAACGCCCTGTCGACGTATTTACGGCAGCCGTTCATGGCTTTAGTGTACTCCATCCACATGGTTCCCGCGATGCTCGTGAAACGCATGTTCCAGCTCGCTGTTCGAGTGCATTACGGGGATGGAAAAGAATCTTTCGTACAGAACGTCCTGTCGCTCTCGTCGCCGTCTGTGATGCGAGCCGTAATCGACACGACTCAAGACATCCTGAAACAAGTCGGAGATCGTGACGACGACGCCATTGCGAGGTCAGCCGAGTGCAGAAACCGGAATCTCAGTGCAGCAGGATGGAGGTACTTGAGGATTGGAATTCCCACTCGTTTCGCTCATTACAGAAACTTGGACAAACTGACGTTCTATTACGGGCTGAACGATCATTGGGCACCGCGGGAGTTCCCCATGCAGCTACGTAGGATGTTTCCCAGATCCGACGTGAGATTCTGTTTGGAAGGCTTCCGGCACGCTTTCGTCGTGGATGCAGGACGAGAGATGGGAGACATCGTCAAGAACTGGATGAGGTCTCAGAATATCCTGCCCTTCGGTTCCCCTACTGAAAACAATGCTTCTCTCGCTCCAACGATACCATCGACCATAACCATGGCATCAACGGTGCCAAGTGGAATCATGACCGTTTCAGTCTAAAAAAATAAAAATTCCCAGTGATCAAGGGTCCGCCTAGAAACTCATGATTGTAGATAGAGGAGCCCGGACTTCACATCAGAAGAGGCCCGGATATGGCTGGCCAGTCGAATTAACGCCCGAGCGGCCCGCCTTCGACTGAGTCGATCTCTCTGTGAGCCGCCGTGTTTGCAATCAGAGCCGCATGAAGCTCCACGGAGACTCGCTAGTACTATCCGAACTCGTAAGCGAAGTTTACGAAGCCACGATTAATGTTCAGATTTGACTCCCGTTCAGTGGTCCCGTCTCGAGAAGGTGATCCCCCCGATCTAGTACCTCACCCAAGGTGGACGCTGGAGCTGAAAATCGAGGATAGACCGACATTCCGACAAACGCCCTCCCTGTTCGGGCATTCACTTTCCAAAACATTTTGCGCCGGTCCTGAGATTAGACTATTGCGATGAATGACCCGACCGCTGCGCCTAAAAGTTGATTGATGATGAAAGTCGTTGATTCAGATCCGTGATTATCAGGACCATGATGGTCTGGTGAACAGACGAGAGAGTGAATGGTACTTAAAGTCTAGATGATCGTCAGCGGCCTGTGAGTTTCCATGTCTCAAGCCTGAATGCTCGAAAGGAACGTGCTCTTCAGAGAAACGCCGCTCGAGAGCAAATCAGCATTTTTGAGCTCGATTTGGAAGGAATAACGGATGCGGTTATGATGAATAAAGCTCACAGGACGATCGGAGACTCGGAATGTCAAGTCAGGACTCACAATTTCGTGTCAAAGTTCCTCATTCTATTGCAAAGTGGCTCCCCGACGTCTGCGTTCTTCTACTTTCCTGTAGCCTATGAAAGATTACGCTAAGGGTCTTGACTAACTAAGTCTCGAAAGGCTTGTTGTAGATGAAGCGGGTGATGAGATCTAATGCGTTCACAGGTTGGTCGTAAGGTACCATGTGACCAGCATTCCTCACGAGAGCCTCGGTGAAGTTTCCGAGTCGATGAACGTAGCCGACCGGCGTTCCCTGTGAAATAGAAAAGTCAGTCCCGGAATCGGGTGGAGGTGAATCGAGTGCGGAGCGCTCGGAATCCGTGTTGAGCTTCGATATCTACCGCTGGATTTTTCCAGATAGTCCTCGGAGCGCTGATGAACTTTGAAGCGTTCTTCCAGTCGAGATTTCTGATGAACTTCATGGTCAAGGCATACGGCACGATCAAATCCAGTTGACCGTTGTATATAAGAACCTGAAGAATCAGAATACGTAATCATGGTATCGTCCCAGCCCTGATTGGGTTTGCTCAGGAGCTGCTCTCGGTTGTACCCACTCGCTTGGGAAAAGCCAACATATTCGGGGCGCTCGGATCGCTCAGAGAACTGGTCAGATATAATACCTTGTAGTCGTTGTTCAGAATCTCCTCTACGAAAGCCTTGGCAGACACGTACTGATCCAGCATGAGTTTGTTCTCTACCTTAGAGCCGTCATTGAAGGGAAGCGAGCCGACGTGTATGGCTCGTCGAGTTTCATTCAATTGAAGAAACTTGGGATAGTACTCGAATTCAGGCGGCGCCTGGAAAATTACCCCCCGATGAGTTCTGCCGTCATGCTGAGCCGGCATTATGACATATCGCTCCTTGACCTCCTAGCCATGGTTGCAGAATAGTGTATCAATACTTATCACTTATCAATCAAGTCCACCGACCACTAAATAGAGCCCGGGACTTGGAAGCTCACCGACGACTGGAGTAGATTGAAGTAGAAATCCAGCCCCGTCGCATTATAGAAGTAAGATTTGTAAGGTAGCTGATCGCCGTCCATCAACTCATTCATGATCTTGTAGGCATTCCCGTAATTTCCTTGTCTGATGAAAGCTTTGGCTTGGTCTTGTACTTTTCTGAAAAACATGAGGAGACTGTCAAGCTCTCGAGTTCAGATTGAGACTGATGGAAAGACTCGGATGTCGACCGCTAGGAGACATCGGCTCGGGAGATGCTGAATTCGCCTTAGGTGGACCTACTTGAAGTGGTCGGCCTGAATAGCGCTGATCAATCCGAGCTGCTGTAGAAGTTGATCGTAATCCATCATGTTGATCGGATCCGTCCACCCGTCGCCGATGATGATTCCGGATAGCTTCATCTTGGCTCGACCCCTATTCTTGTGGATAGTGTATGCCGTGGCGGGGACATATTTGCCTTCGGGAACGGAAAATCTGCGAGGGCTTCTCCGTACCCTATAGCGACTCGAATTCCGGGAGCGGGAGTTCCGACAAGGGATTCCCCTTGGGGAGAGTCTGACCTACCTGCGTATGATTCGCCGGAGACGTAAAACTCATTATCAGCATATTCGTTGAACAAAGTGAAAAACTGTTGGAGAGCCTCGAAGAGATCTCGACCGACTTCCTCCTCGGTTGTCACAAAGCCCGCATCGGAGCCGGTGAATGAGAAACCGGTGCCTACTGGATTGTCGATATACAGCATGTTGAAATCGTGACTCCACGCTACCTCTCGCAACTCAGTTGTCTGAAGAGAGAAAAGTTTAAGCATGAGAACGAGTGAATAATGTATCGTCGAGCGCTGTCGATACACACGAATCAATTCAATGGGATCAGGCTACGACAATCTACTATCTGGAGGTTGAAATGCATGAACATACGAGCTTCTCATTAATCCGGTAGGGACCAGTCTCGATGAAAATGCTGAACATTGAAGAAGCTCCGGGGCCTCCTTGCAAGAACAGAAGCGTTGGCGCATCCTTCCGCAGATTCTGGGCGAGAGCAAATTTCAGTGATCGGGAATTTCGGATCAAGCCCCCACCCCAGGGAGAAGTATGGCCTTGAAAGGAGAAGTATGGCTTCCTAAACTTACCCTAGCCTTGAAAGGAGAAGTATGGCTTCCTAAACTTACCCTAGCCGGGAAAAACCAGAAGAACAAGTTGGAACTCGTGGTCTCGTTCACGGTGAGGTATCCCGAATAACTCCGAATGTTATTTTTGTCGAACGGCGGCACAGAACTCAACTTCCTAGCCTCTCCGAGTCTCCCTGCTCTGATGAAGGGCGTAAGAAATAGCGGGTCGTCAGTATCGTCTCGACTGGCGAGACATTTGGTGGCAGTCAAGAGGAAGATCGCCGCATGAATCCACCGCATGTTCTCGATCGTGACTGATCAGCAAGAATAATAGCTTTTCACGCTCCAACTCTCTACTGAATCTCAATACCTCTTCTACCAGCCCTGCGATATTACGACGGGATATCACCGGCGGCAAGGAGCGCATAAGCGAGGGACTTTTCGGGGATGTTCTAAGTGTTATCCGGGTCATCGAAGCAATCGCCATTCATAATCAGACGTTATGGAGCCTGGAGCCCTTTATCTGTCGCCCCGCCGATCGTGACTAACGTGTCTCGAGTGATACGTAAAAATCCCGTCCAAACTCATCTCCTGAACGACCCTCGAAAAATCGGCAATTGATCGATCAGCAACTCGGGATCGCCCCATCGCATCCCTCAGATGGAGATTGGAGATCCTAGGAGCCATGAACGGGGATGACCCGGCTTCGAAGCCAGACCAAGATTTTTCCCCGAAGAGGGAACACTCCATCGGGACCATCCCAACGCAGACAACCCGATCGAAGAGTTCCTAGTCAGCAGGATCGGAGGAAAGCTTATGTCTGAAGTTTCTGAAAGAGACGACAGATCTGAAAAGAAGCGGATGAAACAACGAAGCCTTCCGTGATAGCGAAGGAATGCACAGCAGACAGCTCGAATTCACGCCCCCAATATGGGTCCCCAGCGAGAGACGCAGCACTGGTTGTTGGTCTTGGCTGAAAAGTCGGTTCTGTCTTAGCTCCGGCAACCGTACGGGTCTTGTAGATCATTCAAGTCCGATGATTTTTTTCCGTGTTCGGTGTTTGCTCTGTCGATCCTTCCTCAATTAGCTACAATCCCATTCCGCAGCCATGGCGAGGGGACCCGTTCCTATCCTCAAGTGGGTAATTTCTGCATCCCCTGTGTTCTAGCGGCATGCTGCCATTACTTCCAATATTGCTCTTTGGAAGACTCAAAACGCTCGCTTTCCCAGGAAGAGCAAGCGGCGAACCAAGACGCAACCGTGCGTAGAATCTCCCGCAAACAGCGTGAAGATACGCTTGTCCATGGTCGATGAGGAGGCCATCTCTCCTTTCGCTGAAGGCCGCCAAAAGTTCGTGAAGCCGAAGCTCAATCACAGACGTGAGCTCGTCAATATCGCCCAAGAGGTATCGAAAGTCATGCAAGCGCAAGACTCCACGCTAAAAAGCGCCGTTTCGGTGAGCTGAAATCCCTTTTTTCAACCAGAGGGCACGAGTCACCCGAGGCCGGCATTTCCTCTCTGAGCTCATGCGGCAAATCGGCCATTCCCCGTTTTCTCGCTCTATCCGTTGGGTCGCTCTTTGCAGACCGCTTCGATTCCCTTCTTCAGCTCTTGGGGTGCCGCGAAACGGAAACAACAGGCTACAGAATACGAGAGGAAGTTGACCGCTCTCAACAAACGTGTGCAGCAAATCGAATCGGAAGTCTTGGGTCCCCCGAAACCGGTCCTTCCTGCACAGAAATCGTTCCTCAAGTCTTCCGCGGAGGGACCGGTATCGACTTCGAAAGGGGCTGACACGACTTCCCCGGCGGCTCTCATGAGACCTGTCCCCTTGAAGAAATCTCCCATGCAGAATTCTCTGATGATGCAAAGAGTTCGCTCCCCGCCGCCTAGCGAGCTTCCGGTCCCACCACCGAGAACTCGGCCCACAGTTGCTGAAAAAGGAGCCGCACAGATTAGGGAAGCTCCTCCGAGAGCGAAAGATTGGTCTGTCCCCAAGTCTGAGGAGGGCGAGCCGCCAAAGCCTGCAGGAACCCAAGAGTCTTCTGATGATGATGATGACGATGATGATGAGGACAGTGATTCAGGCGACGAAGAGGACAGCGATTCATAGTCTGGATTTCAATAAATAGTGGTTATTGTTCTTTTGGAACGTGAACGTCGGGACCGGATCAAATCTCTGATCGATCTTAGAGCAAGAAGCTCATCAACGGAATCACAGTCGTCTTTATTCGGATGGAATGGAATGAGGTGAGGTGTTAGCATTTGGAAACTCCATGAACTTCTGCCAAGATGAGAGATCGAAAAAATTGATATCATATGGTCGGACTTCCACGAGGGGAATACCAGGATCGGTGCAGGTTGGTCGGATACTCAATTGAATCTGTATTGTAAGGGATTCCCCCCGACGTCATGCGTATCACGTGAGCTTCACACGCTCTCCACTGCTCCTCCCTTGCTGGGGTCCCAAGTGTTCCCGAAGTCGTCAAGAGCTGCATAGCGCGAGTCTTGCACCCAGAGACGATCGGACAGTTTGTAGCTGGAAATCAGATGTATCGGTTCTGCATCAGTATTTGTGAACATATTCTACGGTCTCTTCGGATGCTCATCTCTACCTACGCTCACCGCTCCGGTGGGAGGTCGAAGGGGACCACCAGATCTTTTGTCTTCACGGGTCGTCCGGGAACGTACAGAATTCCACATTCGTAAGAAAGTGGCGCCCTTAATTCTACATTGCCCCATGCCGCTTTGGAGAGATTCGCGGATGTCATTAAGAACCAATAAGTGTCATCGAAGTCCTCAGAAGTACGAATGTAGAATTTAACATGAGGAGCGGCTCGAGAACGCCCACAGTGATCAGCCTTCCAGTGATGGAGCCAGTGGGACAGCCATTTTTGTCGATTATGGGTCTGCGGTGAGAGCGGAAAGGCTCCATTGTAATAGATGGATAAATTTCCCTGGTTCACCAATATTTCCTGCTCCTTGAAGAGCATTCAACAAACTTTCAGATTATGGGTTGCTTGGTTGCTCACCGCTCCGGAGTAGGGCAGACTACGCCCTGCTGCGTACCCTTCCAGACTTTTCCGAACCTCTTCCACGGTCGGATAGATCGGCTGAAAATGAAGTGTTGGTCTATCGAAATCCGAGAGGGTCTGGATGCGAACCACTCGCTATACTCCGACAAAACTCTTCCGTCAAACAACATTTTCGCGCTTATCATTCTGCACCTGAAAGTTGCTTCTCGTGACGTCACTGACGCTCAAGGCTTTACGTGTTGTCGCATCCGATGACATAAGCCGCCTTCCGAGCACGGATCGGAACCAAGCTGCGAAGATTCGAAGAACAATTTTCTCGACCCCTGACACGCTCATGAGAGATAGGTCTCCACAGAGTCTACTGCTGGCCATACAACGCCATCGGTACGAGAATCAATCCTTACCCCCATCATCATTCCCGAGCGTCCCTACGCTTGAGAAGCAAAATGAGACCGGACAGTTACTAGGAACCGGTGGAACGTTCTTCTTCAGAACCGACTCCAAGGTCATGAGACCGCTGCGTGGCGAGTGCGGAGAAGAACCTGTGAGCGATGTTTTTTCTGTGTCGTCAGATGGTTGATACAAATCGGGCGACGATTCGATTCGACGCATTCCTAGGGACCGGGTCCAATTATTTTCCTTCCGCCTAAATACTCACCTATGAAGAAGCTCTGTATTCTGGAGAAGTCATAATCTGCGTAACTTTCGGCGAGATCGATCAATTTCGGTTTTCCATATGAACGCAAATAAGCGCATAATGACGCCCGGAAACCTGCGGAGACGATGAATATCGTTTCAGCCCTCCAATCAGAGACCGGATTGAGCATTCTGGTTCCTCAGCAAGCGTGAACGAACCTGTCGACGAATCCGGACCTCGTTTTGGCTCGAGTTTTTTCAAAAGTGGACTGACCCAAAGCATCTGGCTTTTCTGGGACCAATCGGCCTCGTACAGGTTAGCTGTGGTCACGATTATCCTCAGAGAGTTTTTGTATTTGAGGGAAATCATTTTCGTGTGGTGCGTTCCGAAGCGGGCAAGCTCGATCGGCAACAGGGACACGTTCCGATAAACCTAAGCCGGGACGAGGATCAGATTTCAGGCCATTGGGAATTCGGGACGAAGTCGAGATCGGCTGCATACGCGAAAAGGTGTCGAATTTCACCTACTTGTCGTTGGGCTATGAGCAGGTCGAGAAGTTCCTTGTTTTGCTGGACAACCAATAACATCGGTAGTTTCCGATATGGTTCTGGATACTGGTTGAGTAACCATTCCATTTCAAAAACGTAACTGAAGGGGGAGAGTCATTCTGAGTCTTTAACGATCCGGGGGACGAAATCGTCTCATGCGAGTCAATAGAATCAAATCCTATCCCATCTGGTTCGAGAATGCCCACCTGAAATGAACCGCTGACTCCAAGGTGTCACCGACATCTTCATGTAAGATCTGTTTCAGGGATCGTGTGAATGTATCCGCGTTATATTTTGCGCTGATGCCTTCACACTTTGTTAAGTAAAAACCCAAGCCTCGATTGATGTGCGAAAAAGCTGCGACGTGTGTCTGATTGGTCTGATAGCACATCGAGCCGTAGCGACAGGGTGGGAGATCTGATGGAGGGAATCATATTTTTAGGAATGCAATCGCACAGCTTGATCGCGCGGGCACGAATTTCCTAGCTCGACCCCGACGAACTCCTCGACCGAATGACGCTCAATCGGAGACGTACCAAGATCGACGATTTCGCTGGATTCTTGAATGATAGCATCCAGAGCCGGCCCGAGGGTGTCGCCGGCATCAGACGCGGAGTCGAGTTTTCTTTTCTTCAGGATTTCAATGTTCTTCTCTTGGCTCTCGCTAAATCTTTTCGTCGGAGACTCTCGCGAGATCATTGAGGCCGATGCGCTAGTCCCTGTATGAATCGATACGTAAGAGAACGTCTCTCACAATGAGCCTCACGCGGAGCTCCATGCCGACAGCTCCGCGGAATTCCTTCCGCCCTCTGAGGCGGAGTCACCGGAAGGATCTCGACTCGATTCGGTGCCGGTACCGTGGTCAATCAATGAAGGAGGTCGTCTCCGGACAGTCTTTCCAAGTCCGGATTCCTCCGATGTCAATTTTACCTGGTCGCACGCTTAGGTCGCGCGGTGGCTTTATGTCTCCGACCGCGTTCCTCACAACGGGAACGATTTCGATGTCTTCCTCTTCACTGTCCGATATATCGTGAACCTTTCTCGTCCTTTCAGACATCGCTCCTTCCCGTCCCACTAGTCTGAGATGTTCAACAGGTCCCTCGGATGGACGGTTTCTCGTTGGAGAGCACGATTTCCGCCGTTCGGCTACTATTTGCGGAGGTCTTCGGAAACGAGAGGCTTATCATCACGATGTGGAGCTGAATAGAAACGTGCAGCTTATCGAGTGATCTAGATACATTCGAACCCCTTGCGAGGTGCCATGGAGAATTTCTCCGACTTCGAACATATGTTTTTAAATATTTTGCCGCCACCGTCAGCTGGTCCACCGATGCGACTGGGCTGAAGAAGAGCCGAAAGAATTTTCTCTCCGATTCCGTCCGCTCAGCGCGGGCTTTCGGCATCTCTCCCCCCCCATCGGTAGATCATTTCGGACTAATGAAGGAATTATTTCTGAACATCACAATGCCAGGCCGTCAGGGAATCGGTAGCTGTGATCTCTGGTGTCCCCATTCCATGGGCTGCGGATGCGAACCACAGACATTCGGCAGAGGACGCTGGACTACACAAGGAGAACTATCGTCAGATTACGGATTCAGAATTTTTCCAAACAATCCGAATCCTAGGAGCGTCGTTTGATAAATCCATCGCTCCGAGGGAGCTCTCAGGAGCAGCGGTCTCTTTTTGAATTGAGGAACAGCTCGGCGTGGAGTTCAATTCAGGCGGCCAGCTACGCTCCCTGTGCAGATGCGCGTCGTCAAACAGGCAACGTCCGATGTAGCGAGCATGTCGCGATTCTTCTCATAACAGCTGCTCCCAGCATTCATTTGAGCTACTTTCCGTCATCCCAACGTCGTTGTGGCCACCACCGAATTCTTATCGGAATCGTTTGCCTCCGATAAAGATGCGAATCGCCGGTTTCCCGAATCTCAAGGTCGAAGAATTTGACTTGCAGCTCGCTGGGCAGCGATCTGACGTTCCCATCTGCATGTCGTGCAACGCTATCAAGCCGGAAATGTTCGAGACCTCAGGGATCGGATATTTTCCCGGTGCGATTTCCAAGAGCACGAAAGAATATCCCAAGAGCTTCGTGTGTCCCCAGTGTGTGACCGAATTCAATGGCTTGTTCATCCTATGTTGTGGGTTCTGGTACAAATTCAGAGCGCGAGTACTCTTGCACGCTGCTTTCCTCCACAGGTAAGGAAAAGAAAGATAACCTATGAGAGAATCCAGAGCTCGAAGAACGAGTGCTGGCGCCCGTCAAGCCGAAAATCTCGAAGCTGTGGGAAGATTCTTCGAGTCTTGCATATGGATGTGTAAAATGTGATGCTCTGATTGACGCTTTGACTGCTCCTACAGGGTGAAGGTGATGTGTCGTTGTAAAGATGTCCTGGAAGTCAAAGATCTGCTCGCACATCGGAGACGCTGCTTCTTCTACTCTTTCCGCTCAGTCTGATCTGAAGACCATGTGTCCGACGAAAGCTTCGGGAATGCTTCCCCGATGTCGGCTTTCCTCGCGACCTTGGAAAGCGCCGGGAAAGTCGACGCGGGACTCTTTGAATAGGCGCAATCATTGGCTATGTGACGAGGCTCGAATCTGATTCCGCGTCTCACAATCAGAGCCAAACAATATAGAGGAGCGACTCTTGTCGTGAGTCGTTCCTCGCAGAGAGGGGACTTCTTGTGGCGTATCGGAGACATTGTTCTGGACTCGAATAAATTGGAACGGAAACTCCCTCCGTTGTGAGGAGGATGATGTATGGTGCAGATTCGTTTTTGATTGAGAGTCAAACTGGAGCCCCTGGAAATCATTAGCAAGATCGAGAACCCAGAGGTCAAGTTATAAATAGTAAATTTACTTTATTCAAACATTATTATTCTGTAGTACATAGCAGTATTCGTCTTCGCAAACATTATTCTCATCTTTCATCAGGGGATCTGAATACCCCCAGCGTTCCCTGGAGTCCTTATATGTATGTAGGGCCCGAACTCGTCGCTTGAAACGATTTTCTTTTCTTTGGAATGTGCATTGGCATATAGGCATAAGAAATGAGCGAGGTATTCGATACCCGCCTCCCGTTTCATAAAACACCAAATGCCAGAGTCTTCATGAGTCACGGAAAGAGAGTCGTCCCGGGTTCCGGCTGCCGATCGATAGTGCTCCAACGCTGCTAAGATCTCGAATCCCTGTTTCCTCCGATCCGCACTGCTCTGTAAAACTTCTATCTACTCTCGCGAACAGCCGAACCGGTAGAGAAACCCAAAATGCGGTCGCGAAATGCGGGGCTCCTTACAAATGCACTTGGGACTCGCTCGCGGAAACTGATCGGACGAATTAGAGGTCGATAACGTTTTCTTCAGCCAGAACGACGGAATTCGACCATAAAAAATCGTGACGTAATCCCTACATGTCCCCGGGCAGTCTCCAGACTTCCGGGAGATTTTGAGGCAATCTAGTGAGGGAACGGGGCGGAAACACCCATTAGGCAATGCAAGACTGGATATGCCAACTCGAGGAGTTCTCCAGTCTACGTAGACGGGGAGCATACACTGCAGAACCAACGGGTTTGAGACTTCAATGGTTGGAATCCGCGATCATCCATCCTTATGGGCAAGAAGGTATGGAATACATCGTGTGAATTTGAAATAAAATCCAGCCGTCCTCAGATCTCCCCACCAATGATCGTTCTGTATAAATAAGCTAAAAGCACTTCCATGACCCGTGGGACGCATGGCATCCGAAAATGAAAAACAATCTATGCCACACGACGCAGCCGGGCGATTCTGGAGCTGTTTTCAACAGCGGTCTTCCTTCTCAAGGTTTCGGATACGCTCGGGAGTTCTCCAAGTTTCGAGTTTTGAGTGAGCTCGCAGTGATCAGGATCGGCCATTTCGAAAGGTTCGAGGTGTATCTACTTTGATTCGATGACTAGAGTCTTCATGTCGATGAGACTTTTCTTACGAGTCGATTCTCTCTCAGTATCGAAATGTTTCGCACATCGGAGTTCGAAGATCTTTTCTACTAGGCACGAGTATCCGTTCTCTGGTGATCCGCGAGCCGCTGAGCGCGCGCCGCGAAGACGTGGATAAGTCTTCCTATTGAGGTGTGAATTACTTCACTCCGAAAGCCAGGCGCGTCGATCGTGTGTCGAGTTTATGTAGAGGACCGGGTGCGGCAATCAGCTCCAAAACATTGTTGCCCGTATTTACAGATGCTACGGGTCGTCGGGAAGAAATTTTCAGAAGTGCAATCGGAAGATCTCCCCAGAAACTCAAGTCCTGGCGAAACATCAGGGTCAGTGAAAGCTCTCGGGCATCTGCTGTCTAGAGGTTCGATGCTACCGAGAAAGAAAGTGGAGGAACTTGAAGTTCTGCTCGGGTTCTTGATCGATGAATACCGTTCCGTGGATCCGATGATGATCATTTTGATGCGGAAGCCATTCATCAAACTCTGACCTTACAGAATCTTCCAGAATTTCGCTCGGATGCTTGATACCATAACGGCCGCTTCATACCGTTCGGATGTGACAGGCGCACGGATAATTCTTTGGTTCCTCAATTATCCTCCCCGCTGCATCATCAAGATGATTTTCGACTAAGTTCCCATTCGCTCATCGTTTTCGATCCACCTGCTCCTTCCAAACACGGAATTCTTCCTGCCTAATCAATGCCAAAAAATAATGGTTTTCTGAGCGCGATGAAAGCATTACATTCCTTCACCTGAGGCAACTGTAACTCTTAGGATCTAACCCCATTCGCCAGACAACAAGCGAAACAAATTCCTATCAGCTCGATTGCCCCGATGACGAAACCTGCGACGCCTACGTAAACTGAAAATTGTTCAACTTTAGCCACAAGCGTATCCAGACACCCTTTGAGGTGGATAGGGTTACTCCCACAAGATTGCGGTACGTTCCCGACGCTATTCCAGTCGATGGAGGAGGTCACGCCGCAGCATTCCAGCTGGAAACATAAAGAGAGGATATTAGAAAAATGCCTGCTTGGAAATACGGGCAAACAGAAATTCAGGCTCAGAGTTTCCTTTCGGAAACGTGAAAGATGCCTCGAGCGAGAAAGGTATGTAATTTATATTGTTGTGGAGAATTTCCGGTATAAAGGAATTGAGTATTGTCAAAGTGTTACCCGCACCTTCTCTTGCACGAAGTCCCAGGCTTGCTTGGTCGGATTGACCTCGATCCTCTTGTAGTAGTCATTCATTGATGCCCTCAACTGCTGCTCGGTGATCTCTTTCGCCTTACCTCGGTAAACGAATGCGAGAACGCCGACCGTGATTTCAGCGCACAGCAGAAGGAACAACAAAGTCGAAAACTGTAGGCAAGATACGACAGCGTGTTAGACCCATCAGAGTAAAGACGTCGGAATTCTGTGTGACTTCCCGATTTCTACGACGGAACAATGTTCGTATTCATGTTGGAACTCCCGTATCGAGCGAAACCTACCATAGTGAGCATGCAATAGCTCTCCTGGGACGCCCCGCAGCATCCTAAGAAAGCTAGCAGGAACACAGCTACCCCGATTACAATGAGCGCGATGGGTGCGCTGACATAGTTTTCTCCGATGAGTGGCCCAGTCCCCTTCATGAAATGCAGGGACACTGCACCGCATACGATGATAACTATACCGCATACCTGGAAAACGAAGAAAAAGAACTTTAGACCACGTCGTACGTCAGCGGCGAGTCGGGAAAGGATTCGAATGATATCCGGGAGGGCGATAAAAGCCTTCATCGGGTGCCGCAACGCCGGACTGACGGCGGCGGAATTTCAAGTGTTCGCTTGGAAATAATCCTGTAACTCAATGTGCCATGGAGGGAGGCGATATAATTACGAGTCGAATCGGTTTTCTGAGACTACAGCTCGCGACAGCGACACGGAATTCACGTTCGTGACCGCCAAGATCATCGAGCTCCCATCAGGACGCATATTTTGCTTGCACGAGAATTCGTTTGCGGTAATCGATCGCCTCAAGTTCTCGGTCGGCTCCGACTCCGCGTCGCCGGAAACCTTGAGAATGGGTTCTCGGGAACCTTATTAAACGGATCGGGAAGGCGCCTGTCTGCATCAGAATCACTGCTCGAACTGCTCCCGAGCGTTTCCCGTTGTCAACTCGAAAAGGGCTCGTCGGATGGGAGCATTGACCCGAGAACACGAGTTGTCGTTCGATCGAGGCGACTTATTTTTAGCGAAAAGACGAAAGTTCACGCGATTCTTTCCGAATGGCGCGATGCCGTCTCGCAGAGGATAGACGGTCAGGAATAGAGGATCTCCCTGGGCGAATTTGAGCTGCGACAGGAACTGACACCCCGTTTTCGCGCCTTTCGGAGTAACGGGAGAAGAAGACGAATCTTCCACCTATGAGCTTCCGACCGGACAAATCGCCGTGTTCCTGCTCAGCGGAACGCAAAGTAACATACATCCTTGGTCCGAGCATCCGATCCGTCATTCGATGTTCGCGGTTCCCATCGCGAACGATTTTTTCTTTCCTTTGAAAGCCCTTCCGAAGGATGAATCCCTCCGATTCAAAGAGAAGAGCTGGACCACGCTTGTCGGAAGTAACCAAAATTTGTCAGGAATACAATGGCGAAGAGTCCCATAGAAAAAATATAGCGGGAAGAAAGATCAGAATTGCATCTTCAACCATAAAAAAACAGTTTTGTCAGCTCAAGTTTACTCCGCGATAGCAGGCAATCGATATGATTGCTCGAAATCGCTCCAATTTATATTTGAACAGCTGTCGACAATGATCCCGAGTCTAACACTCAGCCTCATTGCCCAGGAGCGTCCACGGCAGCGGTACGAGTTTATTCCAGACCCGTAAAAGACTTCCGATTCCCATCGGATAGAAAATCTAGCGTCAGCATGTGGTACTCCGAGAGCCCTCCGTCGCTTTCGAATTCTCGGATTTCCCTAATTCTGCGATCCGGGAACCCCTCATAACCTACTCTGAAGTTCGAAAACTCAAGATTTCCAAACATTCAAGACTTCCGTCGCGTAGGCGCTCCGATGCCAATCAACGTTGATGGAAACGAGCGAATAAAGTTCTGGATATCGGAACTATTCCCTACTGCCTTTACTCATGTCACTTTTCCACGGTTGGTTCAATAAAGTTTTGCCCGTATTCACAGTTGTCTGACGAGGAAAAAGTCCCAAACTTCCGTAAGTTCAGGATCGTTCAAGCATTCGTCCATTCGGGATAGAAGGACCCATTTGCCTAAGAATGCAGCAGCGTGGATAATGCGGAGTTTTTGCTTATAGTTTGGGGGTTCTACGTTCGATTTGCTTTCACCTTGGCCTTGTGGTCTGTCGTCTCGGTACAGTTCCAACTACAACACGCCGACATTATTTAATCTCCGATCTCGCCCCCACCGACCTAAGATTGATCCTGCATGTGGGTTCGGCTCGTTCCCTTAAACCCCACGAGACCGATAGGCGCGATACGCAGATCCCTATCGAGGGGACCTTGAAGTCCGTGACTTAGTTTCTATGCTAGGTGTAATTTGAAGGAACCTCTTATCGGCTCGGAATTCGTTGCCTCGACCCCGGAGCTCTCCGGATTGTCCGCAGCAAATCTGGCCGTGTCGGCAAAAATGAGGGCGAACGGATGCATTCCATTTCGGCGGGCCAGATTCGAGCGAGATCGCCGGCTCGAGTTGAGTTTACGGATCGATAGGGTGAGAACTCTCACGAATATGGCTTTTGTCACCCAGATACGGGGAAATAGCGGCAGATCAAATCAAGGCTCCCGGCAACCTATTTCTCGTGCGGGACTAGTCACGTATACGAGCGAAACATGTCCAAGAGATTCGGTCCCATGAATTGCCGTAATTTGATCCGAACTTCATATATTGCATGTATCTTGTATGGATGTCCGTCGTGGGGGGATCAAATTGATTCTTTTGCGAGTTCATCTCCGAGTGCACTTCGGAGCTCAGGTCGACCGAGACAGGAAAACGCCGATGGATGCGCGTTGGGACTGATGATATTCAAGGGTGAGGCTTAGAAATTTTGAAGGACGCCGATGCCCTCGGAAACTCTAGCGAGAGCCCTTCGTTCGGTTGACGATGGGAGCCCAATGATCAGCGGCCTCGCTTCACGGATCGGGTCTGGGTTTCATTCGCTGGAAGGTCTGCTGACTTTCTCACCGTCCCGAAGATAATTCAATTACAGATATCGTCACGTTGCCGGGACGGCTCATTTCCAGGCTACGAAAGAGACGCTGACGAAGTGTCAGGGATCGCTTTCCTTCTGTTTGCGTAGAGCTTCGCGGCTTTCTCTCGCTGAGTTTCTCGCGTTTTTTTCCTGGTGCAAATCGAAATACTGCGCATCACTGTTTATATCCGGGCCCAATTAGGACGATTATTATTATTCGCTGCTTCTCACCCCTCTTTTCTCATCATTAGATGTTGGAAGAGGTCCTTAATGGCTTCTCTTGTTTGCTCGGCAGAGCAGGTTACCGAAGGTCGTCTATTTTCTGTTTGTTGGCATGGCGGAGCAAGCACGAAGTGAAAAGTGCAATCCACAATAACTTGCCTCACTCGTGTTTGTTTCAACAGTCGTTCGTGAAGTCTCGAGTTTCGACCAGTAGCTCGTATAGCTTGCTGATCGCTGATCGGTTGACTGTCTGATGTTTTCAGACAACCCGACATGGAAGTCGTTTCGCAAAATCTCATAATTAGAGACGCCGAAACTACCAGCCTGATGCATCAGCAACAAGTGCAGCGATCACCGCTCTCCGCTCAACCGACAGCCCGGGCCGCTCTGTCAAATAGATGGCTCTCGCCAATTGAGGCGTTTTCTGGTAAATGAATGTGAGATCTAGGTCAGCGATGCCACGCAACTTGATGAAATGCGTAACAGGGACTTCTTCGTCGTGTCAGAAGTTCAAGCCGAAAGAAAACGCTTCCCGGGCGTTCCCAGGAGCAATTTTGAGCCGGCGAGGAACTCCAACAAACAGGACCGCGATGGGTACTCGGACACCTCAGCTGAATTTTTCATTTCTTTCCACTTTCTGGAGGAGGTCTCGAGTCTGGCGGGCGATACTTGAGTTTGTTGAGCAGATCACCCGAGCCTTGATGGTTCCTAACTATTTGACCGAGAGACATGGATAGGAAAACCTGGGAACCAACTCTTCGATCCTAGCGCTGAAAGGCGACCCGCATCGGAGAACAGCGTGGGAAGGATCCATTCCATGGGCGGGAGAACAACCATTTCTCGATCTTCATTCGAAGGAGTCTGGACCACGGTCAGAATGAGCGGCCCCGTGAAATTGTCCACTGAACCTTCGATTCGGATGACAATTGTTGTCATTGGAAGGAAGCGGAGAAAGCGATTGGAATCCTCACAGAAATCGTGTGTGACTTTCTGAATGCTCCGCTCAAAACTAACGGTACCGCGTACCGAAAGAAGAAGTGTTTGGAATAAAATTCTCGAGTCTCGGTTGATGCCCCATCGCTTTTTATATGCTTCAATAGAAAGTGAACAAAGCTCCGTGACGATCCGCCGTCCGCAGTCTTTTGACATGTCTAGCAGAGCGGACTCTCGGCGAAGAACTTGAGAACGACGAAAACGCGTCAAAACTTCGAATTGCGGAGTGTTGTTGGTGTGTCCGCGCGCGCGGCCTCAGCTCGAATGTGAAACTTGAAGTCAAGGTCCCTTACTTCACCCCTCAATCTGCGATGACTTCAGTCAAACATCATTGTCCGCTTCGCAAACAATGAACTCACTCGCTTGTGTTCTGGGAAGACCCCAGCGAGTAGTTCGAAGACTTGACTTATTTCGAACTTCTAATCGGTCTCCAGGTCGGAGTTGAGGCCGCGACTTAATGGACAAGCGGCGCTATACGAAGATCATTTTCGACCCGAATGACGGAACGCTCACCAAAGGAATGCTCAACCGTCACCAACGAAACGTTTGACTAGCCTTCCAAACATGTATCGCTGAAACAGTTGGCGTTTAGGCCACTCGGTCCGTGCATGCGGCCAACCGACCGCCTGACTGCTCAGGCCGTCCACCCCCGCGATCGATACGATTGCTCCCTGGTCCCCCGCCGTCCCCAGGGGCCCCTCACCCACGCCCTCCGCTCGCCCCGGCAGGGCCGGCGTTCACTTCCTGGATGTGATCGACGCGGACTGTCACCTGTTCGAAAGCAGGGTATTCACCGATTGACTCATGTTCGTCGTTATTCGCATCACAATAGGAAGAGGAAGACAGTAATCAATTCTGTGTTACAACAATCCGCCGTGAAGAACATCTCACGGGTGCGTACGGCCAGCGCAGCGTGAAACGGAAGAGAACTTGTCCCTACTTCGACCGAAATCGAATGGACCGAGCCGGGCGGGGAACCGTAATACGAAACGAATCGGATAGGGAAAAATCATTGAGAGAATAATTAATTGATTCACGAGATATTTTCAGATTCTACGCTGCGCCCGACGCTCTTCTCCCGCGGGAACTCGCAGCCACAGCGGCTGTTTCGACGGAGTTCGATCAGCGTGTCAGCCGCTCAGAATTTCGCGCCCGTATCCGACTCGAGATAAGCGAGATAATCGGCCTCGCATATCCTCCGGTAGTCTTCCTTGAGCTTTCCCACCACTGATTCAACAGTCAGATGCGTTCGGGAGCTCCGCAAA